TGACTAAGGGAGTCCGAAGCTGCTGACCCCCTCAGAGAGGAGGGTCTAAGGAGCTCCAGGCAAAGACAGGATGGGGGGATGTCTTTGAGGAGGTTTTAAAAAGGGGAGGAGGTAATATTGATGTGGCCTAGAGACAAGGGAGTGCAGAGAGGTGAGGGTCAGGGGGGGTTGTGGGTCAGCTGAGCATCCAAGGACATCATCGCCCAACCTGACTCCACGTGCCCTTTCAAAATAAAACGTCATATTTAATCCACCTTGACTCAGACACCGGTCTTGTGCACCTGTTTAGCCGTTCTGATATTGGCTGTCACTTTGTATCTTGGCGGGATGACATTACATTTGTCACAGTTTTCAATTGAAAGTGCTTCACACCGATCTCCATTTGAAAAGTAATCCTATTTCAAGTGTCTGCTATTTTGTAGTAGTGCCTGATTGTCTGGAGAGACTCAAATTATCCCACAATGTAGTGAGTAATTAGAAGATTAGTAGTCATTAATCAAGTGCCAACAATCATCATGTACTGTTAATGCTGGATTACCAACCAGGCACAGGCAACTTCCCTCAGGGGCCCATAAAAATCAACTGAAGCTCCAGGCTTGCTGCGTTGACTACAGTGTTATTTTTCCTTGTTTTTAATATCTAACATGTACTGAAGTGAGTGCAGGTGTCTATTTGGCGCAGAAACCACATAGAAGAGCCTTGTCCAAGTTGTGTTTTAAGCTCTGAAAGCGCTTCACCTTCAAGAGGACTTAATTGAAAATATTTTGAAAAGTTAAAGTCTAAAAAGCGCAGGTGTAAAAAATGAAATTAAAGATGGCTGGATTCCATGTAGCTGCCTCAGCGTTCGCATCCATATTTTGTGCGTGCTCATTCACCTCAGCTCTCTGACGGCTCACTGAGGAGTTAAAATAGCACAGAGTCATCGTTAATGTTATTAGTTACACCTGCGCTTTTCTTTATGACTTAAAACGTCTGCTGTGAAGAAAAGGCTCGCTGTGTTTTTATTGACATAAAAGTGGCAGAACAGTTATCTACGCGCGACCAAAAGCAGTGCGTGATGTTGTATGCCAAATGCCACACTGTATTTACTTCACACTGTTCGGATAATGCATGAATAAACAGACTTGAACCTTGTTAGTAAGCATTAAAACGGCTCATCCTGGTGGTCTCATAATGAAAACGCACCGTGTTCTTGTCAGATACTCGACAGGTGCAGGCAACTCTGGCTGGGGATCTTGGTTTCCTGTCATAACCCCCTCTGTCACTTACACTGGTTTTCAATGCTCTTAAAAAGATGAATGATCTTTTGAAAAATAAAAATAACCAGAAGGAGCCCAGACTTTAAAAAAAATAAAAAAATAAAAAAACTGAAAATTTAGAAAGTAGTTCTGGTGAGGGAAAAACTTGACACTTTTTTCAATCACAAACTCAAAAACAACTTTCGAACAATGAACAATCACTTTTAATAAGCAGTTATATCAGAATACAGATACTGGTTGACAATTATCTAGTACATTTACTTTTTATTTCCTCTTGAGACAATTTTAAATACGCTTAAATGTGTATAAATTTACATAATTAAGTGTCTTTTTGGTTTTATTCTGTACTAGGACCGCCATAACATCACATTTTTACCTCATGATTATCATAGCCATAATAAATTACAATGTAAACATATTCAGTTAGTTAAGGAAAAGCAAAACCAGGGTGGAATAAAACATCACTTCATGAACTTTACCAACAACTTCAGTGTTACAGTTCATCTCTACTGACGTTCAAAGATGTGTTTTATCCTCAACGCCAACCACAAGACAGTAACTTCTTTGAATAAAACATCATAAAATAACTTTTCGAGAGTTTCACATTTTTCCTAAACATCGAAATCTTGAATGAAAACACTTAAAAGAAGGGTTGGAAAATATAAATATTCTTAGAAAAAGGCTCTGGGTTCATGAATAAGAGATAATACATATGAAGTGGGTGTTGTACAAAATGGGATCACGTCAAGGAAAATCGTCAGTGTTTTGCTCACCATAAAGCAATTCTATTTTGCATAACCACCTACACACTATATGTTATTACTCAGCTATCAACAAAATATATGAACAAGTTACCACCACTGATCTTAAGGCGTTGATGTTGATATAAAAACTTTTTAATTTTTTCAGCTACAAATGAAGTCCTTCAGATTCAGTGGTTGGTGGAAATATATTTTACACATCTCAGAGGATGTATTTCAAATTGATTAGCCTTCATAATGCTCATATTCCTATTGGATGAGTGGGATTGGAGCTCAACATGTAGCCATCTTCTCTTTGATGATTCAGATACTCTGTCAGTTTAATACAGACTGCCTCAATGAAAGTCTGTGGGAGATTTTAACCAATGCTGACATCAGAAAATTCAGTCCAAATATGCTCTGTTCACATTTTGCATTGAATTTACATCAATTTAGTATACTAGCCTGTACCTTTAAATATTTTATATAACTTTGGACACATAATATTTTGTATTCTTTTATTTGTACTAATAAACATGCAAGCAGAGTAAAAGTTGTGGGATAGTTAAAACAAGCTAACACTAAATGTAAAATATTCTTTAGCTCAGGATTGTTCATCCTTCTGCTGAATATATATATTGACCGAGAGAGTGTAGAAGCTTAAAAACACTAGTGATTTTCAGTCTCTGCTCACATCCACATTCACACACTTATTGTGTCTCTATCTAGTCAAATCAATACATAACTCATGTTGAGAATTACTGTGGAAATGTTCAGCATAATGACCACAAGCAACATTCCTCCCTCTGTTGCTCTTCGCGCCATCCTTTCTCCCACACCTTCAATTTCGCCTCTCCCTCCCTCCCTCTTTCCACCTCTCCTCTCATCCCTACTCCCTCCTTTTCTCTCTCTCTCTCATGCGCACACACACATATACACACTCTCCCTTTCTTCAGCCTCCTCACAGTCCAGATGGCCTAACTGCCCCCACACTCACTCCCCCACATACACTCAGTGCACTCCACCCCACTCCTCCTCACCCCTACGGGAACAGCACTCCCTTCAGAGGAGGAGACCTAACCCCCTCCTCCCTTCCCCAAAAAACACTACTACCACTTTACGCTCAAACACATTCACAATTTACACACACGCCTCCCAACGCACGTACACACATCTCTACTGTCCCTCCACAGAAGACCACAGGCTTGTTTACGCCTACACACACATTCACACACACACACACACACACACACAACCTCGTTCAAAATTCTCCTTTTCTGCAGTGCGAGTATAGTAGGAGGGCTGGTATTGTACAGAAGTAGGTGTGATATATGGCACAGTGAGTCACGACCATTAATAAAAAAAAAAACATGCCTGTCCTTAACATTTTTGTGTTTTGTTTTCCTTTTCATTCAGTTGGATAAAAGAAGATAATTCATTCCATTTCAACGCACCATTTTCACCCAGCTGCCATTTCCCCCCTCACTTTACACTCGAGGAGGAAAACTCAGACGCAGTTATCATTTCACTCTATTGAGTTCAAGGTTGTTCAGAGCGCCCAGAGTTCCAGGTCAAGAAAAGAGGATGCCGTGCAAATCGTGCACAGCGATTTCAAATATGTACCCATGGTTAAAAATTCCTGCATAGGAATTTGTAATATGTGGGTAAAGTCCACATTTTACAGTGAAAACATAGAATTCACCAAACGCAGTATAGCACAATATGCAGTCTTGATCCTATATAAATGTGAATTGGCGGATGTGATCACCATGGAAATGATCCGCTCCTCGTTATCTCAAGAGTGGGACCCTGTTTACAAATCTGGAGGTACAGGTTCGCAACCCATGTGCATGAATTGTTTGCAAACCATTCCCACGCACTGTATGCAAACCATGTGCACAGGTTACCAATCCATGTCTTACAAATCCATGTGCACGGTTTGCAAATCCCTTCTACTGATTATAAATTTGTCAGCACGGATTATCAGCCATTGGTTTGAATTTATACATGTATATGTGTGTGTGTGTGTGTGCTTGTGTGTGTGTTGAGAGAGAGCGAGAGAGAGAGAGAGAGAGAGAGGTTATCACTCACATAAACCTTTTAATGCTTCCTGATCAATCAGAAACTTCATCATCAATGAATTGTGAGAATCGGTCATAATTCAAGTCAAACAATGTTTAAGGGTCCATTAGCCATTCATGAAAGCTACATAGCTTTAATGTTAGCCTTGAGCCAAATTTATATGAAGCTAGCTAATATCAATTACAAAGCCACTGGATGCAAATATTCACCAAAGAGTGAGATATAGCATTGAGGACTTGTTAGCCGTCGTCTACAGCAGCTTTGTTAGCATATAGCCACCTTCTATATATGACAACTTCAAAACAAGACACATGCTGACAATAACCATTAAAGGTATACTGTACTATATACTGTTTGATGACCCATTAAACTAAAATTTAGCCATTTTCCCATATGCTTTGTACTACAACTTTGTAATATTTGATGAATGCATTAGCTTCATTACTCCCCAGCTTTGTTAGCATCTATTCATCTAACTGTCAGACCGACCAAGTAAGAATCTGAGTGGTACTATACCCTTAAAAACCGGGATTAGATATAATAGAAGAGATATGAACAGACATAACTCAATGTCTGGTAAATTTCAGCTGTTTTTTAAGATCCAAACCCTAAATCAAATGGTCATAGCTCAAATCCTTAAGGTTGCAAAAACCACACGCCAAACTTAAAATAGGCAGAACTCACTTCATCATTGTAGACCAGTGGTTCTCAAGTCCAGTCCTTGAGGCCCGCTGTCCTGCATGTTTTGGATATTTCCCTGCTCCAACACACCTGATTCAAATGATCAGCTCGTTATCAAGCTCTGTAATGTAACGAGCTAATCATATGAATCAGGTGTGTTGGAGCAGGGCCTCGAGAACTGGACTTGAGAACCACTGTTGTAGACAATAGCAGCATGTTATGGTCTTGGTTATCACAATGGGCTAAACTCTTCCAGTTTTAAGAGCTGGCAGGACTGCAAGTGCCTCCAGGTGCCAGAACAAGAAAAAAGACAAGCCATGTGTAAATCTCAGTGGACAGTCTGAAGTGCGTATGGATCTATAACATAAAAACAGATTGGTAATTTGTACACAAGAATGACAAATCCATGAGGACAGGGTCCTAATCTGTGTGAATAGATTTTCCACACTGCGCACCTGGATTACAAACCCAAATTGTAAATCCATGCACACAGATTACGAATCTGTTCCCTCAGATTACAAATCTATACACAGATTATAAACAGTGGATTTCCTATCTGCACAGATTTGCAGTTTTTTATGTGTATTTTTACCTTTTTTTCTCATGGTGAAAACAGGTGGTACAAAAGAGATACACAACTACACAGAAACTACACATTGAGCTCCTTAGCTGAACCCTTTGGGAATCATCTCCTTCATTCAAACTGACTACATACATTAGTAGGAGCTATATAATGAATTTTATGGTCAGTCAAGATAAGTGTATATAACAGGAAGGCTATGCAACTATGATTTATAGATTCATGTCCGCTTAGGGCTTCTGTAATTTCCATGTAGGTAAAATATCGTCCGTGCCCCTCTAGAGTTTCATTATGCTTCTCAATCAGGAAACAGTAATCTGATTTATAACTGTTTTGTTCCCCATTTTACTTTTTTTTTCATAATTTTTAACACTTATAGCACTGCAGTGTACTAACAGCACGTCAGATACTGGCCCTGAATGTCATGACTGAGGTAAACTACCGCAGTGTGAATATTATGAATGGGAATTGCTTTATAATCTGCTCACTGACGTCTCTCAGCGGTGACTCAGCTGTTGCCGAGCAGAGCCAGAATCTTTACAGTGTTTTTCGATGAGCTACATATGGTTAATGATGGGATGAGAAACCAGCTCTGGGTGGAAGTTCTCATAGATCAAAAGTTACTTTATTTTGTTTATTTGTGGAGAACTTTTTAACACTCAACATACATGATTTTCAGATGATACAAAGCAAAAAAAAAAAGAGGACAAAAATGAAATCAAAGATGTGAATTTAATAGTCAAAGATCAACTGAATAACAAGTGTAATAGAAAGATCCAAGTGACTGAAACTGAAAGATGATTAACCTGTTTAAATCTTGACTTATCTAACACGGAGCCTAAACAGCTCGAACATTCATACAGTCATGTTAACATTGTAATTAGCTGGCAGGGGTCAAACATGGAGCAACAGAGTGAAACACAGAGATAACTGTCGGGGACCAACCGAGAGGTGTGACTACTGACTACAGCACAAGGAGGAGAGGACTATTATCAGCGTGTGTGCGTGTGTGGATTGGCCTTGGAGGAAAAAAAAAAGGGGAGATCTGGTGTAAAAGCAGGGTGTTTTCTAGGTTGGCTGTAGGAGTGGTGGCGGCGCTATGAGGGGGGTGGGGGGTGGGGGGGTTGTAGGCCAGGGGAGGAGGGTGTGGTTAACGGTTAAAGCACTCACAGGAAGCTGTGAGGCAGGGAAAGGGGAAGTGAACCACCCCCACACTGTTCCAAGGCCGCGGCGGCGCTCTCCTCGGGGCTGGAACTGACTGACCTCGGCTCACAGCTCTCCCACCACACCTTTTAACCCCACACACGAACACACACACACACACAGAAAAGAAAGACAGATGATGCATGGTCACTTGTTCACATAGTAGGAGTCAACCGTCGTGTTTGGCAAATACAGAAGGACGGAAAGGTTACGCAGCCTTAACAACAGGCTAAAATAAAACAAAATAGTGGCATATTTTGTATTTTTTATGCTGAAACCAGCAGATATTTAACAGACCGTATCAAATTCAAGCCATCAAACATAGACATGAATCCAAAGCGCTCTCTCTGCTTTCGTGACACAGCATGACCCGGACTTTCTCTGAGCCTCCGACTGCGCTGTGTGCCAGCCACCTCAGCTCACACTTGGCCACGGTGATCTTGCTTCTTTCTTCTCCCCCCCCTCCTCCCGAGTCCACACACACACATGTTCATTCATCTCATTCACTTGCAGCCAACTGACCCCGGGCGACACGGCTCAAACCCTTCAACTCTGCTCGGCTGACTCACAAACAAAACGCTGTGGGCCAACAAAAAAAGGTTAAAACGGGGAGAGCAGGCGTGAAAAGACACACGCGCCGACACACATGCAAATCAACGCTCGGTTCTGCACTGTTTCTATATTAACTGGATAAAGGATTAAAACACCACGGGGGGTTCTTTATAAGATAAAAGTCAGTGTGCCATACAAGAGTTGGCGGTCCCCGGTGTGACCCTTGTCATTCTGGTTGTACAAAATGTTACCTTGGCGACAGGCTTTAATCTCTCCACAGAGAGCTGGATTTCTATCTGACCTCTGACCCCACATGAAAGAAAGGCCGCCGGGGTCACACACTCCTCTCGTCCATTTTCCGCGCGACCATTTTTCTCTGACAGGATGTTTGTGAAATCAGTTTTTATGGGCAACAAAGCCTCCTGTGATTAGGTTTGATTTTGACATGGTTGTCTTAATACGATAAAAGTAAAGCGACTGAGGGCGCAGTCGGATTTTGGTGAAGCAGACTACGATTGTAACACTGCATTGTCGGTAACAAGGCGCACCTGCTGCCTCAGTAGTCTCTTCCAGGGAAATAATAAAAGTAATAATACAAATAGCTCATTGTGGAAGGGAGTGTCTAAAAAATGAAAACTGTAAATGTGAACCAAAGCGCTTAATCACAGCCAATAAAAGATGTAAAAAAAGTGAACCATCTGCAGATATCTGGTTTAAATCTAGTTTTTTATAGATAGCATGAATTTTTACACTCAGTAAAATTTTTGACAGGCTTCATTTGTAATCTGACAGTGTCTGCGGCTCTGTGGGACAAAAAGGCTGAATAACAGGAGATAACAAAGTGCTTCTTTTTTTTTTTTTACCTATATCTGTTTGTACCCTAAATTATTATCTTTCGGAAACAGAGCTGAAAGGTACCGTACAAGATATAGAACAACTTTTTAAAGGTCTGATTGTTTCCATCTGGTTCGTCACATACTTTAACATCTTTGAATTTTAGATCGACTTACATATCTATCTCAGCGAGAAGTCTGAGTATAAAAGTCAATTCTTTCAATTTATCTCCTGAAAATGTTCGCACATGTCCCCGTACAAAGCTCACTACTTAATCCAAACTTTTTTTTTTTTTTTTTTCAGAGTAAATGCACTAAAATAGAGAAAAACTGGAGAATCTCTGATATGTCCAATTTCCTTGTTAAGAAATGTCTCCACAGAATTTTTTGATGAAAATAATCAGTTCAGCGGAGGATCGGTTGTAAAAGGTGATGATTCTTTCAGGCGCGTAAGGCAAGGTGAAAGAGAAGTTAAAAAATCTGTCAGAGAACAAAGAAAAAAACTGAAGAGCTGCATCAGAACAAGATTAACGACACTGCAAATACAACACAGAGACAAAGAGCGGGGCACATTTCCTGCAGCCTTTGTTGGAATTATGTAAATGATCTGATCTTGTTCATTTTTTATTTTTGCAAATTTAAATTCTTTGATTTCATTTAAATTCTGAAATCCCACTTTTTTAAAAAAAAAAACCTGTACTGCCAACATCCGTTTTATAAAAATAAAGCACACAGCAGCCATTAAGCCAGAAATTATGAAGTGCTTTAAGATCTCAGATTCTAGTTTTGTACTTTGTAGGATTTTACTCTCTCGAAAATGATTTCAGTTGCTTAAGAGGATTGAAACCCCCAATGAAACCAAAGATAAAGGCATCATAAGAACATATTCCACATTATAGTTTATAAACTATACAACTATGCTGCTGTCATTTTGGAATTTTCCCCCTGTGGGATTATTAAAAGAATATCTTATCTGATCTTAGAGTTGTCTATTAATCCCTAAAATACCTCCAGATTGTAGAAAGTAAAACCATCCCACTGCTCTTTTGCATTACCTGTACACATAGTTTAAATATCCGTATGATTATTGATCAACATGACAGTATATGAACAGATTTTGCAAACATGCACCCATCACTTTTGGGCATGAACTCTTCCTTTTGTTAGAAACATTAAAATCATTAACCAAAACCCTTTCTACAGATGTAACACAGATGGACATATTTATACCAACATGGACCGAATGACAGTTTTTAGTGCAGGTGAATGTAAAACTATCCATTAAACCACTTTGCCTCTCTTTGTGTTTCAAAAACCCACATTTGAGCTCTGACAGGTGCCGCTGGTTTCAGTTTGAACGCAGCTCGTGAGGTAACCTCCAACAAGCCCATTTCCTTCATTAATCACTTTCAGGATGAAGACGCTGTTCTTGAGGACATTAAAGCAGACTCACAGAGCTGGTTATTCAGAAAATTTAGCTTTGAGAGTCAAATTGATCAGAGTAATTTCTACACACGGCATGAGTCCCTGTAGGTGTGTGCATTGCTCCCTCTACTGGCGAAGAGACGGTGTTGTGTTGGAGGGAAATGTTTCTGAATATTAAAACAGTCAGGAATTAGTTGCTTTGTTCACTGTCCTTTAAAATAAGGATCACCACCTGCTACTCCAGTGACTGATTCAGGTCAAACAGTCTTAATGTGCAATAATTTATGAATATGATAAACACAGTGATAAACAGAAGCAAATACTTTGACCTAAAGTCATGTGCAATGCTCAAGAATTGCAGAATTAAAAAAAAAGAAAGAAGGTACAAGTTGTCAACCCTGTCAGCTTGACTTGAAATCTCATCCCATGAAATTCCAGGCTGGTTTTTTAGCCTCTGAGGTGATTCTCCTCATAATCTGCTGAGGTGAGTCGGCGTTTCATGGGCTGACGAACCTGAGATTGAGCCTGAATTTACCATTCTCAGGTTGGACAGTCCTAGAAAGAACCACTCAAGAGTTAAAGCGGGAGCTGCTGCAGCGTTCAAGACAGGTCGTAGACACACGAGGAGTGTGTTGAAGAAAATTCAGGTACACTTTTGGGTTAATCTGTGTTCAATTTTTCGAATGCAAAAAAGGTCCATGTTCAAAAAAAGAAGAAAGTAGGAAAGGAAAATACTGCTGGTCACTATATTTTAGTTTATATTCGTAATTTTACCTGATATTATATGTTATGTAACAGACTATTCTTTAACATATTATATTTATGATATAGTATAATTGATATATAACTTGCAATTGCTATTCTTTACACACGTATCATAACAACCTTAATTTACAACAATGTTATTGAACACTATTTTATCTTTATCTATTTTTATTTATTTATGTGTTTAAAAAAAATACATATTTTGGTATCTGGCCTCAAAAAAGATGTACTTTAGTGTTATTTCTGGGAATGAAAGGGTTAATTTTTTCTGTTGTTGCAGTGTTGTGGAGTTCTTACATAATACCACGCTCTCAAATAGTGAAATAATCCTGTTTATTTGCTGCCGATCCTCTAAAACAAAGTTTGTGAAGATAGAGTAAAACCGATTGACTGAAAGTGTGTATATATTTTTTTATTTGGACTTTTTTACTTTTAAAAAAATATTTTAAAAAATCAAAAGAGCTCTGTAGGTGTAAATACATGGTGCAGATAATTTTGCAGTAATATTTTTTAATTTTAAATATGTCTGTAATCTAATCTGATCTAATCCAGACTGTCAACAGCCGGATTTCGATGCAATTCAACTTTATATTTTGTGCACATACTGTCAGTTTTCTTAGTTCCAATTCAGGAAACTCTGGGTACAATTTTAGGTGATGAACAGCACGTTTGCGTCAGCGTTGTTAGCAAACCTGCTCTAAAACCACTCAGCATAGTAAAGCATTCACTCGACTTAGTCTAATTGCACAGGCAGCATCGAACGCCTCAGACACATCAATCACTCAGCCCTGATTTCACAGTCCAGATCAGACTGTTAGAAAAGTTTCACTGTGAAAAAAAAATATGCAGATGGACAAACAAAAAAACAAAGAGAGACTGAGAGAGGGAGGGTGAGAGGAGAAAACACAATCCTTCCCCCCTCTTCAACAGACTTATCCAAACCCTCTTCCCATGATTCACAAATACATCCCCGCCTGAATTATTCATCTTCAACTCTCTGCATTAAAGCTGCTGTATTGAGTTGTGTTGTACTGGCCTACTCACAGCATCACTTCACTTTTACAATCCAGACACACTCTCTGCCAAATACCACATTACCCTCAACAAATAACAGCCATAAATACATACTCACTCTCTACGTTTCCTTTCCTTTCATCTCACAAAACAATCATTACAATAATGGAGGATTGTGGCACGTTTTCTGGAGTCTCCTTCACTCTTAAGTAGCTTTCAAAGTCTCCTCTGCGCACTCCTTACCCACATGGCAGACCCTCTGACTCCTCAGACGGAGAGGCAATCTTCATCATGTAGAGCTGAAACCAAAAAGAAGAAGAAAGAGAGCACGCACGGCGACCTGAGGAGGATGAAACAGAAGTTTTACAAAAGGCCACTCCTGCTCTCTTTACTTGTCTGTGACCTCATCATGCTTGCTGCTACCAATGGGGATGCTAGTCACACACACACATACACACACTCACACATATACGCACACCATCTTCCTGTTTGTCAGTGGTGGTAAACTTTCCACTGACATCTCCATTCAAAGGACAAACATTAAGATCTGAAGCTCTGCTCAAATTGAATTCTCTATTTAATAAAATGTCACTATGCAAAGAAAGAAACAACTCACTGTGTGTTTTTGTGAACATTATAAAATGTTTTGACATTAGTTTACAGATTTATCTCTAATTTGTGTCATTTTCACAGATTTAATGAACTCATTCATTTTTAATCCGATTTAAAACCCCGCAGAAAAAAAAAGAAGCTTTCAACTCTCCTGACAGCTGTATGTTTGACTCCAGATAAACTCGCACAGCACAAGAATCACAAAACGCTGATATTCTTAGCTCTTGCACGTCTTTTGCCTGTCCTTCTCACACCTCCTCCCCCACAGAAAAAAAACGCCTCCTGTGGGTCAATATCTGCCTAATAGGCTGACGCTTTGTAATTGTCCATCAGCCTCATCAAATGAGTGTCAATCATACTTTAGCGTGGCTGGCGTCTTGACAGCTGTCAGAGTGATAATTATGGAAAGTGATGGGAGATATCGAGGTTGCTTTCCATGAGAAGAGGACAACCACAATATCCTTCCTGTTTGTTTTTCAAAGTGTGCAATGTTGTTTTCTGTTTAGAAAGGTTTGACTGAGGTAGAAATATATATATATATATTCACGACACGGTGAGGAGTCGGTGGCACGTTTCTGTAACCCTCACCAAAAAGTGGTTTCAACATGACCTATATGTGACCAGGGTGAGATAAAGGAACAGAATCACATGCAACATGAATAAAATACTACATAAAGAGTGTTTTAAAAGCTCTATTGCACTTTTATTAAATATATATATATATGTAAAAAACATGCAGCACACATGATGAAATGAGAGCAGCACGCAGGCTGCAAATACAATCAATGAAATCAAGTACAGTTGTATTGAGCAGTGAGAACAAATGGTACAGCAGCAGCAGCAGCAGCAGGTGACTGAATGGAAAAATAAAGGTGTTCGCTACAGTGGTAACAGCAAAGTTGCAGAGTTTTAGCAACTTGTTTTTTCCCTTTTTGTTTTGCATCTCTGGTTCTGTGCAGAAAAAGAAAACATGAATACCTGTTCGAGGTAAAAAATTAAAAATGATACAGACTTTGTGATAAATTACTGAAGCTAAAAGTGACAAAAAATGATATTTAAGTTTCTAAATTCTAATTATTTCTCCTTCTGATGCCTCATTTTTTTTTTTTACAAAGAACCGCAAACAGGCCGCCTATTTCTGTAAATATAAAGGCATTGTTTTTAAAAAAAAAGGCACCGACCTCAATACTGACTCCACGTTAAAACATCAGGCACTAATCTTCAGCGTTCGAAACTCAAAATCAGACCCCGAGTATGTGTGAGACTAAAATAATCTGTGTTGGTTAAACGCATTGACCCACTTTTCAGAGCGGTAAAAACCGTAAAAAAGATGTCTGGCTCGCCTGCTGACTGGTCACATCTCTCCATAGCTAAAATATGTAAATGAAAGAACATGCTGCATACCACAAGTGCATACTTAAAGCTGTATAATCAAAAATGGCTTTTAACACCCATTTTATCTGGTTAGGTCAGCGTCGACTGAGAAGGAAAAAAGAGTTGAACCAGAGAGCTTAAAAAAAAAAAAGAAAAGATAGATACACCTACACATTTTCCGATTGAATGGTCCTTCAGAAAGTGCTCATGGCGATGGAAGTTGAGCCGCACAAGTTCGTGTTACAGTTTAACTTTTTTGTAAAAGTTGTGAGAAAGGTATGTGGTAGAAAATCACCTTTAAAGTGTGGCGTTTATGTCTCTTCTCCGCGCACGTGCAAATTCACATTCAGTTGTGTCAGCCACAGTTCACGGCTTAAGGCTAGATATATTCTCCAAAAAAAAAAACACCTTCAAAACTTCAACACAGAGATTGTCACGATTTAAACTCTCAAATAAAATATCTGAACTAAAACTGTACATATAAAAATATCCATGAATTTACAACACAACTTTCAACAACAGAATGTACACAGTGTAGCTTCGATGTCAGCAAGAGTGGCGGTGTATAAGCACTGCATTCGTCTTGTTTGGGTTGATTCTTCACTGCGCCTTTTTCGGACCTTGCTGGATTCATGTTATGGCCTTGCAAAAGCAAAACAGTTTGTTCTTATGGTCTCCAAAAGGCAACAGTCTTTAGTCTTTCAAGAGGTAAGTGCAATGCCAAAAATGTCATCAGTAACTGGGCTCATCCATCTCCTCGTCGCTCCAGTCTGGGGGTGCATCTGTTCCAAAGTATCGATCCCCAAAGTTTCCTGAAAGGAGAGAAATACAAGAAAATCCTCAGTTCAAATCAAGGGGCTCTATTTTCGTGCCCGCCAGTGGAGGGTGGCGGACCCTACGCAGTGGTATTTTCATCTGGTGGAGCCCGGTGCACAGTCAGTTTGGTATTTTGGTAGACTGAGGCGCTGAGGTTCGCCAAGCTGGGCAGCTGGCGCAGTGACATTTTCGTGCCCGTCGGTGGCGTAGAAAGTGCGCTGTAAGCGTAGCTGGTCTAGTGGTATTTTGGTAGACTGGCGGCGTAGTGCGCATACGTCACCAATGCATCACTGGCAGGTTTCCACATTTCCACATGGCAGGCACATTTTAGTGCAATAAATAATCAACAACAGCCAATATTCTGAGTCAGCAGATACCAAAATGTGCTTGAGAAAGCCTTGTCGGTGCGGCTGACCTGACTTACACTGTGCCTACGCCACGCCGCTGGCGAGGCACGAAAATAGAGCCCAAGATGACATGTCAAGTCATAATGTTTTCTTCTTTCACTACTAGTACTCACCAATGCCAGGTATGATGTGAAAGAGGTCATTGACCTTCTTGTCCACAGCGGTGGTGATGATTTTGACCTGGGGGAATGCGTACGCCACAGAATGGACTCCCATTTCTGCCATCAGCAGAGACACCAGCAGGATCTTGTCCTCCTGAACATCATGGTCCTGAAAAAGACGATACATTAAACTATATGACAAGTGAGATTCTTCAAAGGTAGTTTAGACTTGAGGAAATTCTGGATCACTCACTAGTAGGACTCGAACAGCCATCATGGCGGCCGCTCCTGTTGACACGGTGCAGTCCATGAGAATCACATGATCTTCACTGATGTCTTTAGGGAGACGCAGGTAATGGAGCTGGAAATGTTTAGAGACAGGATGTGGGTAAATACATGACCAGTACCATCCTGTATATAGATTACAGGTGACGTGGAGCAGAAATCCCCCAAAGTGACAAGATGACGTATTAACTCCAAAAGTAAGATTAAAAGTGACAAACTACAGTAACACATATCAGGATCATGTTTGAAAAGTGCTAATCGACAAATAAACACACATTTCTCTGGAAAGAGGCCACATGCAGGACTTAAGAGAACATTACTAGGAATCTACGAGCTGAAATATGAATGCACACCTCTGGTTCTCCTGTGTCCTGGTTGGTCTGGATGAGGATCTTGCCAATGCGGACATCTTTGCACACAGCTCTCAGGGCCGGCTCCATCGTCTCCCCGGCTCGTAAGATGGAAACCCCTGTGATCTGAGGGGAAAACAAAAAAGCGGAAAAAATATAACAGAGGTTAATTGCACTAGATCAAGTGAACTCTACTGAATGGACCTGAAGGTAGAAAAAAAAAAAAAGAAGACTCAAGGATAGACGGCAGGAAGCAAATGGAGTTCACTCACCCTCTTTCCGTGGAAAGTCCTGCCTTCATAATCCTCTCCCTGGGGTGTCTGGACTACATGGACCTGAGATAATATTAAACATCATAACAGAGTGAGAACAATGGTGATCACAGGTGATAGTTTGATTGGCTTCTGTGAATTTGACAGTGTCAGCGTCGTGTTTTATGTGAATTTCTAACCTTTGTCTCTGGTTGAAGATGGAAACTTTCCATTGTGGTAACTTGGTAAGTTTCCATCCTCTAGCTGCAGGCCAATGCGAACACTTGTATCTGTGTCTTTCTTTTTTTTTTTTTTTTTTACAAAAATAAACTCTCACTCTTTTTTCCATGCATCTTCATCTCACTGTGCTGTCTTTCGCTCTGTTGCATGGTCTTGTTCTGAAGCCAATCTGTCTAACACTTCCCCTCTCCTACACGTCTACCTCTACGCTCAGGTATCTGACAGTTTAGAGTCGATGTTCTACTTCTTATGGAGGATTACAGAGCCTCCACGCAGTGCAATGAATTAATTAACAGTGTGTTTGGCACCTGCGAGGGGAGGAAGGAGAGCGCCCGCTCAATCAACAGACGCATCAACCTCTTGGAGTAGAAGATGAACTCATCACGGCTGGTTTCCTTGTTTCTAAATATGGCGACGAGAGAGAACAAAAGTTAGGGATTATTTGTCATGAGAACAGACGCGGACGCTCAGGTAACAAATCAGGTGTGTGAACTCGTACCTGATGATGGTGTGCATGCCCCTGACTTGGGGCGTGCTCTCCAGAACGCTGAGGGTCTGAGGGAGGGGCTGGGCCTGGTGTGCGGAGGCCAGGGCTGCCCTGTAACCATGGCAACAGATAGCGAATTGCACGGTTGGAAGATGGACAGACACATGGATAAAACATAAATAAGTGTGATTAGCGCTTCCTGGCACGCAGGTGTGTAAAATGTGTGCATGTTCAGGAAACAAACACACACACGCACACACACACAGACAGACGTGTGAGTACAAGCAGAACACATGAGGGATTATTGAGTTAAAGTTAATAAAGAGCAGTGTTTAAGAAGAAAAGGCAGACACACTGATTTTTCAAGAGTAAAGTGCCAGTTTTGAGTATTTCAGCAGAAAATCACAACAACACAGAGACCGAGATATGAAAGAGGACTAGGGCCACAAGAAGAAATGAAACAATTACAGGAGGAGATTTTTTTAATTTCCATTTTGAGATTAAAGTTAAAATTTCCAGATAAAAGTCAAAATTTTAATTTCGACATTATTCACATTTTGTAATCTCAAAAATTCGACTTTAATCTTGAAATTTAGATTTTTAACCTTGAATTCTTGATATAATTCACATTTCGATTCTAGATTTAGATTTTAATCTCAAAATTACATATTTTTTTAATCACAGAATTTCAACATTATTCACAACATTTTGACATTTTTTAATCTCGAAAATTCGACTTTAATCTCGAAATTTCAATTTTTAATCTTGAAATTTTGACATTAGTCACATTTCGACATTTTGTAATCTCGAAAATTCGATTTTAATCTTGAAATTCCCTTTTCTAATCTTGAAATTTCAATTTCTATCCTTGAATTTTAGACATAATTCACATTTCGATTCGAAATTTAGATTTTAATCTCAAAATTACATATTTTTAATCACAAAATTTTGACATTATTCATGACATTTTGACATTTTTTAATCTTGAAAATTCAACTTTAATCTTGAAATTTTAATTTTTAATCTTGAAATTTGACATTAGTCACATTTCGACATTTCGTAATCTTGAAATTTTGACTTTAATCTCCTTCCTGCAATAATTTTTGTTCTCTTCATGTGGCCCTAATCCTCTTTCGTACCATGATGATGGAAAAGAACTTTGTCGTAGTTTTTTTTCAGAGAGGATAAAAATTCAATCAGATAACAGTGAACAAAAGTTACTTTGAATTTCACTTTGACTCCTTTAAATAAACGTTCAGTGGTTATTTTCCATGACAGGTCTCCTCTATTGTAACTATTCTGCGGGTTTCCACACATGAGGTTTAGATCTCTGGTAAGCCTCACTCTACGTATGGCTCTAAAAGAAACACACACACCGCTGCAAATACCCAGTGAGGCAGTCACACTGACACTACTGCTAGTATATCAACACCATCACTGAGATATCAATCAGCAAGATGCAGAGAAAAGAGAAATCATAGCAAATCTGCTCACATATCCCAGCGAAGTTTCCTCTACGGAGTGATTATTTTTTATTTTTGGACAAAACACAACAATCACGACAGAGGGGACACAGAAAAGACAAAAAAAAAACACAACTGATAAGAAGAGGAAAAATGAGAAGAGACAAAAAAAATCAGGTGGATGAAGGGAATATCAAACACAGTGGAAAGTGTGACAGCTGAGACAAGATACTGTTGAAAGCTGCTACCTTGGAGTGAATTAACATTTTCTCGTCTCTAAATGTTTGAATTCAGAGAACAACATTTCAGGTAACAGTCTATGCTTGCACTTGCAATTTAGACGAGATTTAGTTGTGTGTACACGTGCATCTATTGCGTGTTTGCGTGGGAGGTGCACCAGCTTTCGTGCGGCTGTCACTCTTTCACCGTGTCGTACGGTACAGGTTGGTATTTCAGCTCACAGGCCCCAGCACATCCTGTGTCTAAAGACAGACACCGAGCTCACTTCCTCTCTCTCTCTCTCTCTGTCGCGCACACACACACACACGCTGTGGCCGACATTCAATGGAAAAAGTCAGCACTTTGTAGTAGGGTATTGGAAACTTTCTCTGTGGCTGAGGTGTATAATAGTCGACAATAGCTGTAGCAAGAGCTTCCTCCCTCTCTCTCTCTCTTTCTCGCTTTCTGTTACACTCACTCTCTCTTTTTTCTTGATGCTGCTGAAAGGAGGGGTCAGTGACTTGATTCATTGGTGTATTTTTAGACACATAAGGCAGGAAGAGTGTGAGTTGTCATTTCTCTAAAAAGTAGAGAGAAGGAAAACCAACTTCTTTATGTTAATTGCTGGCTGCACCGCACCGAACCCAAACTTTTGATCTTGGTTTCACTTTTAAATGTCGTCTGCAGCTTGTATGAAGTCTCAGACTTGGTTTTGTACTGGTGTGGGGGTCTTTACAGCACTTTGGCACAGACTCATTCTCTTAGGACAGATCACTAATTAGGCATATTTGCTCTACAGATACAACAGTGCCGCCTGGTGATGTGCCATGGCAGCCAGCAGATCAGTGGAAAGGTAGAGGTTGGTTTTGCTGGCCTCTTTTTTTTTCCTCTCTCTCTCCCAGTGAGAAGCTGGAGCAGTTGGGGGGTGGGGGGGAAACCGAACAGATGGCAAGGAGAGAATGACAGAAAGGATAAAGGCCACTCTACCTGACGCTGAGCTCGCGCTGTGAGCCACGGAGGGATTTGGGGTGGAGGGGAGGTGGGGGGGAGAGAGAGTGAGAGAGCAGTCCATCAGCAGTGTGTGTGGGTTAATGTTTGTGTTTGTGTGTGTGTAGTGGGGAGGAAACAAAGCAAACTGCACTGTGGCACAAAGTGGTCCCCACCAGCTAAAATGCGCCTTTAGTGTCACTAAGTGCGTGTTGCACAATATACGTCCAAAGGTCAGAGCGGCACACTGGTTCAGTATGAAAGGCTTATTCTGAAGAGGCGCAGAATAAGCTACAGCTTTTAATTAGGATCATGCAATTACTGGCAAAGAAGTGTGTATTAGGATTGGATAACTCCTCTATTATAAATGCAAACCTATATATCACATTTATACCATCTTGAAATCAGTTTCACATGAGTTAATATCAATATCAAATCGTTGAGCTGCAAATGTCTAAAGCTTGGATTTATCCTTCATGTTTGACCTGTTTGAAAATATATACCATTTTCCATTGCTGTGCCTAAACTCTGGAATGCCCTCCTCCTTATGTCAGACTGTCCCCCTCAATGCCTGTTTTTAAATCAAATTTGAAAACCCACTTTTAACTCCTGAGAACTTGGCCTTTTAATCATGTTTTTACTGAACCATCTACGTCCCCCTGTTTTTAACGTGTTCCTGTGCCTTTGTTTAATAGTTCGTGTTAATTGTCTCTTTCTATTGTTTTTAACCTTTACTGTACAGCACTTTTTAAAATGTGCTTCAGAAATAAACTTGGATTGGATTGGGTTGGAATAATAAGATTTCGGTTTTTCCTTTCTCTTTTCATATCTTCATCCTGAGATACAACACCTTTTATCCTCATATCTAGACCCTCTGAAGAAGATCAAGTGTTTTCAGATTACAACTGTACTTAGGATAAAACATGTCCTTCACTAAAAAAAAATCAAGATCTTCTTCAAGAGTGACGAGTTAGTAGTTTCTGCTGCTTCGCATCAACCGACAAAATACAAAAATGACAGAAAATTGTTTATTCTGGTCTAAATTTTCATTTTGATCTCATTACTTTCTCAACCTTTTCATTTCCAGCTAATCAAGGAAGCACAAAACAACCACACACCTTCCCTCAAACTGATTTAGTGCACTTTAAGGCCACTAGAGGGAGTGATGGAGCTTGTAATTACCGACCATTCTACATGCAGATCATCTCGATTTTTACTTCATGCGCTTCAGTTTGAACAGTTAGACCTTTACTAAGTGGAATGAAGGCCACAACAGTCAATTGTGAATCAAGATTGACTTGTCGGTTACCTCTTCTAGTTGGCTGTGGACGTGCTGCACTATCAAATCTATGGCCACCATGTTTCCACCACCTGTAGGAACAAAAACAAAAACATGAATAAAGTGTGCAAATCGTGGGATATCTAAAACATTGAGTGTTAGTTCAGTTTCAGAGCAGTCAATCCCAGAAGCTCTCCACTCTGAGTCCTTTTTACGACACTAGTATCTTACTTGTTATGTAATTGGTATACACATGTGGGAAAGGAATGTACACGCACCACGTGGCACGACAATATCAGCCAGACGCATGGTCGGCTCGATGTACTGCTCGAATGCTGGCTTCACGAACTTGTTGTACTGTTTGATGACGCCCTCGATGTCTCGGCCTCTGTCTGAAATGTCTCTCCTCAAGCGCCGCACCAGCCGGATGTCAGAGTCGGTGTCCACGAATATCTTCATGTCGAGTAACTGACAGGAGAGAAAATGAAACAGGGAGAAAACCTTGAGCTGAAAATGAAACCTCATAGCGCGCATTCCCACAAAGACCGGCTAATTATACCCTTCTGGTTCTATTTTTGTTTTCTTCACATGCGCCCTGGATCAAAATGTGGATTCACGGTTTAGCAAACAAGTTACGTCAAAACTCTGCTTACAAATTTGACCCTGTCTGGTGAGAAATCCTGAAAACGAATAGGTCTAAAAGTGAGTTTTACAAAGAATATACAGAGGAATGAACCCTGTCTTTGAAATAAACTATCATATTATAACTGAAAATTCATATTTATGAGTAAAATATGTTCATAAACGCTTGAGTTAAAGATGTTTTTTCAACACATAATCGCTGAGAATGTTGTTTTTTTTTGGCTGAGCATTAAACGAGCTGTCAACAATGTGACAGAATAAAGAAAGTATCCTATTTAAAGATAAATTCCTTAAATTCTAACAATCTACATTTAAAAAAATAAGCTTGTAATTGTTCTCTGGAGGATATTTTAATTCAAACTCATGTAAATTCAGCATTTCTCGGTCATCTCAGGGGATAAAACTGGGAAAAACAAACTTGTTGTTTGATCGAATGTACAGATAAGAATGAACCTGACACAGCCGTCTTCCACCGACCAGCTGATCAAATAGAAAGCCAGTAACCTTGGCTTACCTGCAAAAGCTTTTTATCTGTGAAGGCCATGATCCCCTCGAAGATGATAACACTGGCTCCGTACACGGTTTTCTGTGGTGGACATACATCATTTCAGTGTTGCAGTACAGTGTGGAAGAGATAGAGTGCATAGACATGTTTATGACTCCTTATTGTGGGAGTATAATTAACAATAAATCAAAACTTCCCACTGAGTAAAGTTCTTGAACTGTAAATCAGAGAGACATACCGCCTGATTAAATGTTCAGTTTTAGAAATTAAACTTCATTTTCTGATTTCAGGAGAACGATGAGACACTATGGTCATTTAGTGAAGAAAATAAATTAGCATAATTTTGTGGTTACATCAGTTTTGCAGTCAAAATCTCAAGTTTTCATCAAGCTGCAACACAGTTTCCCTGGTAACGCCTTAGGATTTATTCACTGGAGTAGATCTCTGATATTACTTGGTAATGCAGGACTTTTTAAAAGTCTTAACAGCAAGACTGCATAGTTTATGAGTCGTGTAAAATTCTCATTTTTCTCTCATTTCAATTGTCGTATGTCGCTTATATGTTAAGCCGTTATTGATTTCTCTTAGTTTTAACAAGCTGCGTTAAATTGGAGACATAGGCTTTGACTGTATCCCTGTTGCTATGGTTACTCATTTAAAAAAATGGGATGAATCTCTGTTGCGAATGCATTAATTTAAATGAGTAAGTTTCAGAGATCTATCAAGGGGGTGTCCATCCTCGGGAATATGTCCCTCTACAGCCAATCAGAATCAAGTATTCCCCCAGATTGTGGTATAACTGTTACTAATGGATATTTGAGTATAAATACAAGCAGAATGAAAGCACATTTATACTTCGTTAGAGACCATCTGGAGTGCAATGTGACTCCGAGCCTCAAGAGAGGGGGATTAAAACCCTCTTAGGCAATCGAAAAACTCAGATTATATGTGGGAACTCTGATAGGCTGACGAAAGACACTATCTCACTGAGTGCACAAGTACTGATGCACAATGGATTTGCTCAGCCTTACCCACTCCTTCTGTCTGCCGTGGGTCGTGAAATCATACACCGGGATCTTCACGCTTTTGCCCTGTTTGAGTTTGCGCAGGGTGTGCGTGAGCAAATCGAAGTCAAAGGCATCGGGGTGGTCGAAGTTGTAGTCGTTGCTGGCCGCGAGGGTCTGCTCTTCCGGGGACAGGACCTGAGGATCGCAAGAAACATCAACCGTGCAAAAAATTAGTTTTATGTAAGAGTGGAAATAATGATTTTGCATTTAATTTACATAAGCCTGTGCAAAAAACACTTGGACACGGATCTCTGTTCAGGAGCAGTAGAAGTTAGGGGGGCCTAAATTTAGGAGAACATCATGTGCCTACTGTGACGTCTGTACCAGGTGCTGAGAGTGTCTATGTGTGTGTGTGGCCTCAGGGTGGCTGAGCATTAAAACCCCAGATCTGGTATTTGGCAGTTTCAAAGCAGCAACACCCCCCCCTCTCTCTCAAGTGAAGTGATTTAACACTTAATATGATGAACCGGTGTTACAGGATCTGTGGAGGCTGTGAGGAAACAAGAGGGAACCCCTCGCTGAAGAAAGGATGTAGGAAAACAAAAAAAGACGTCAATTCGAGATGAAGCGTTTTGAATGCCAACCCCGGGTATTACAGCGCTGAGGGCTACAGTACCAGTGGCCACTGGTGAATCTCTCCCACTCCGCATAGTCTGAACTGCTGCTGTCAGATTGTGACAGGATTACATAACCGGAGAGTGGGTGGAGGTATAGAGGGGCAAGAATGGTGGCTCTTGCTTGATTGCACTTCACCACCACTCTTTTTCTCTCCCCATTTCGCTCACCACGGTGCTTCTCTTTTGACTCATCTGCCTTCTAATATTTTATCCTCTCTGTCTCCTTTCTCTCTCCAGTCACTCCTTTTATCCTCATTTTCCCTCCAGGACCCCAGAGTAATCCTATTTTCTCTCTTTCACTCTGTCTCCTGCACTCTGTCTCACTCTCCCCTACCCTTCCTTCAAACCACAGAGAGTTTGGCAGCCGTACAAGACAGGAATAAAGTAATAATAAAAGGGCAGAGTGATTTTTTTTAGACTCACCTGACATCGGTTTTTAAATCTATGGGACATGTGCAAACACGTCAAAATGTAGCGAACATTCGTTTTAAGTCGCAGGGAACTCACATATGCAAACATGTGCATTGCTGCGTGGAAGTAGACACACACACACCTTGTAGAAAGAGTCCATCGAGAGCAGAACAACCCATGGTACATCAAGAGCTTCAATGATTTTCCTTGCCACTGTTGTCTTTCCTGAAGCGCTGCCCCCACACAGACCTGCGACACACACAGATGGACACAAAACCAAAAATTTTAAGCATCTTCGGTGAGAATTTAGTGAGGCCTGCTTGACACCCTCTTAATTACATGCTGGGGTTGCTCCAGGCTGTTATTTGCATGAGGAAAGGAGAGGCAGGTAGAAACACAGTCAGGATTCTCATGAGAGCAGGTTTTTAAAACAGAATCTCCTGTATCGAGATTGTTTTTGTGAGTTTGACTCTGTTTAGGTTTAGAGTTAGGATTAACTTATCACTCTCTTCTCTTGAACCCTGAACTTTAAATCAAGCTACACCCACGACTATGTGCATAGAGAGAAAAAAAAACAAACAATAGCTGCAGTAAATCATGCTCATATAACTTTTCCACTGTTGTCTGTGTGACAGTGTTTGGAAGCAGATGTCCGGAAATCAATCAAATTTCACTTATAAAACCATCAAAGCTTCAGTAAACGCATAATATTTAGGAGAAAAACAAGGAATGAGAGGTTTAAAGTTTTTGTTTTGACCACGCTCACTTCACTTGCTGCTAGACTGGATTCTCGTCTGTAAACACCGCCCTGCGTCTGACATCCTTGTTGTTCTTTGGAGCATGTGGGTCAATTTAGGACAGAAGCTTACTCACACAGGAATCTGATACACTCACATTTTAAAGGTGTTATGTGGACACCCAAACAAACACAGACGGATATAAGTGATAAGTAGTTTTTCTGGTGTATTTGGATCATGTATTTGGTTGATGAGATTGTATTTTTATAGAAAACTAAAGAACAATCCAGAAAGAAAGAAAGAGAACAACATCTTGGCGAGCATCAGTCTCAGTATCTTACCGATGACAAAGGCCTCCTTGGACTGCGTGCCGTGTTCGTTGTACCATGGTGGGCGGCCAGCGGTGTAGATGGTTCGTTTGGATGTGCGTAGGAGAGGCGGCTCAGACTTACACTGGCTGGTGGTCCTTTTCCTGGGTGAGAGGCCTGTGCTTACTGAGGGAAGGAGGCGGTCCAGTGATCCCTCACCACCTCCACTGTGAGGAAACAACAGAGCAGACAACAAAATGTGCTTTAAAGGTTACAATTAAGGGACTATTTCGGACTTATAATACTTTTTTATGATGTTACTTTTAGCAACCTTAGCAGGAGTTTTGTTTTCAGAACCAAAAATCAGCTGTTGTCTGCAGCGATGATAGAAAAGCTGCCAGTAAACAAAGCTTGGCGTAGGTTTTACATGTTATTGTGGGTTAATGTTTATTTTTTCATCTTCAGCACATCAACTTTGGCATACCTTGTAAAGAACGACTCCTGAAGGTACAAAAGGTCATAACACAGCATGTTAACTGGATGAGAAAAACATCCCAATGACCACAGCTGGATTATGTAACCCACTCCTGAGTACACATTACTCTACGGTTGTTACCAATCATTACCATCCCTGTAATGATGATGTAATTGTTACAGACGACAAGATAGCCAAACGGCAAACAAATGACCAGGAGCTTATTCAAAGCAGCTCCGGAGTTAGTTTGCATGAACTATTCAAACTTATTGTGCTCATCTATCATATCATTTACTGCGCAAAACAACAACAATACTGAGGATACAATACTGAGGCCACTGATGCAGGGGCATGTCTAGAGTTTTTTAGCCAGGGGAGGCCCAACTGGGGGGCTACCTTCAGAGGTGGGCATTAGATACAACCTTTCTTTAACACTTCATAAAATAATAATGATACAAGGGCCAGATCGATTTAACAGCGAGCTGAATTAATTGGCCAATTTTAGCCAGTTTGAGACTAACTGGTAATCGGCCAAAGCTTGTCAATTGTCGCCAAAATAAAATGCAGAGAATAGGATCCGGCTTCACTTCGAAAATGTTCCACCATTTGAAAAGTTCCCTCAACTTATCCTGTAGATGGCGCAGCGACCTCATGACAATCTTATTCACTAACTACCTCACAGCACAGCAGAGTGACGGATCTTAAGCAGGCAGCTCAGGGACACACGGAGGAGAGTGGTCCGCCTCAACGCTAAATAAACCAGTTTGTGAAGTACACAATAAGTCAACAAGTTTCAGTTCAACCCACTTCACGATGTTCCCCGCTGTGCTGGTCTTGGTCACGCCGAGTTAACAGTGAAGCACCATGTAATATGCAAGCTAAAGTTAGAGTTAGCCATCTGCTATTAGCCTTGCTACACTGTTAGCCGTGCCAGTAACGGTAGAATAAACAACAGTACACATTACGTGATTAAGCTACTTCTCTTACTGAGGCAGCTGCATGTCTCCAGGTGAGACCGGACCGGAAATGAGTAAAGTGAGTGAAGACGTGAAGGCACCGATCGGTGCCCACAGTATATCTACAATATATAGTATACTGTACATATAGACTGTAGATATCTACATTATATATGTATTTTTTATAACTTCATAAATTTTTTTTAAAAATCGGCAGATTAATCAGTAACTGGATTTTTTCCCCCCTAATAATCGGTATTGGCATAGGCCCCAAAAAAATCCATATCGGTCAGGCCCTATTACAACAGTTTTTTACACTTTCTTTAAAAGATAAAAATCCGATGCATGTCTATTATCTAGTGTCACAAGTTACACACCTGAAGTCTGTTGCAACACAGACAAAACCATAAACACTCCAACCTCTGATAAATCATGTTTCAGGATCGCAGCCTCCACTTGTGTCTCATATTTTCACTTTCAAAACTGTTTTATTTCATGACATTACAAGGAGAAAGGAGAAATAAGAACCAGCAATCAGTCAATGGTTGTGGCTACTTAGGATTCGGAACAATAAACAATGGTACAAATACTGGTCTAACCCACTGCTGAGTGATCCATCCTGAATTTAAACCGAGTCTGAAACCCTCGGAAAGCTTCAGTCTTCAAAAAACGTAGTTTCTGTGATGTCTAATTTTTTTAAAAAATATGTAAGTCTGTAGAAAGAAAATACTTGGACAGAAAAAAACCCTTACCCTAACCCTAACCTAGAACTTTCATCATGAAGCATGAGTTAAACAAACACTGCCAAGTTTCTCACAGTGACAAGTGTGCCTGAGTAACGGTTGCTAGAAACAACTTACTGCAGAATCCGAGACATCCACACTTCACCCAGTGAAGTCTGTAAAAAGCCTGATGCCATAACTTTAGTAGACCTTGTGGTAGTCCTCCTAGAAGCCTCTGTCGTTTTCTGTTAGTCAGCCAATTCTTGCCCTGTACTTCTTTATATATAGGCCGTGCACCTCCGTAGGTGCAGTGACAAGAGGACAGAGGTGAGGCAAACAAGAGAGAGCAAAGATTTATCTTATCCGAGCAGGGTCATCGGGGTTTAGATGGAGCAAGAGAGCGTGCTGAAAAACTCAGAGAAACATGCATGGGGCCGAGCGCACTTGAGCTGGGTTATCAGTTAAAACTAAACCAGGGTGCTATAAAAGATTAGCCTGGTTGACTGTGCTGAATCATTCCCTTGTTTAGAGAGTTTACAGGCGCACTTCTCTTTACAGAGTCATCTATGAATACAATGGAGGGATGGGCTGTTAGGTCCAGTGAAGGGTACCTGAGACAAGATTGCGGGTGAACTTCACAATGAATTATGGCTGTGATTTGAAAGTCGACAGTGGACGGTTGTAACTTAGGGCTGGGTCACAGAGCTGAAATCAACAAAGTTGTATCTTTAAAAACTTACAAGAGCCCACTACTTAAATGCAGTTAAGAAACTATTAAAGCCAATAAAACCAATAAAAACCCTTAAAAACAAACTGTAAGAAAATAAGTGTAACACAACAACAACAAAGTGTGACACTCAGAACTAGCTAAATCAGAATCCGATTTCATTAGCTAAAGGTTGTGTTTACGTGTAAAGAAAATGACTGCTAGACTTTGCTCGCAATGTGCGATCATAAAAAATGAAATATTACACAAATATACACAAGCTTATCTAACTTTTATATGCAAATAAAGTCAGCGATTAGTATGTCTTCACTAAAAACATCAACCTTTATCAAAGGGGTATTTCGTACTGGAAAACCACCCAAGTCAAGATATTACAAATGGTAAAAGAAGGTTCAAAATATGTATATAAACATTTCTCATCATCAAAATAAAGACCCTAACCCTAGGTTGAACAAAATACTGTTGGTTACAATCTGACACACCTAAATTAAAATTTTACAACATTCACGACAGTTTTGAGTTTGAAACCTTAAAAACAAACGGCAATGAAATAAATAAGTGTCCCAAAACAACAACAACAACAACAAAGTGTGACACTCAGAACTCGCTTAATCCGAATCCGAATCCACTTTATTCGCCAAGGATGTGTTTACATACAAGGAAAATGACTGCTAGACTTTGCTCTCTATGCACGAACATTAAACATTAAATATTACACAAATATATACAGGCTTGTCTAACTTTTATATGCAAATAAAGTCAGCGATTAGTGTGTCTTCACTAAAAACATCAACAGGTATCAACTTGTAAAAGGGAACTGTAAACCCTTAAGTTTCGTACTGGAAAAACACCCAAGTCAAGATATTACGAATGATAAAAGGAGGTTCAAAACAAACATTTCTCATCATCAAAATAAAGACCCTAACCCTAACCCTAGGTTGAACAAAATACTGTTGGTTAAAATCTGACACAACGAAATTAAAACTTTTAACAAATTCGCAACACTCTTGAACTTGAAACTGTGTAATCTGGTCTTTAACACAACATTAAAATCAGCAAACAACGTCTTCACGACAATTTGTGTCACTTAGACGAAGCGTATACATACTTTCTCCGGGTGTCAACATAAACCTGAAAGCTACAGCTACACACCCCAGGCCGGAGTTGTTGCTCCTGTTTATCCAGGTTTGTAAGACAAACACTCACACAACTTTATTACTAGTAATTAAATTGTTAGTTAACTATGAAACGCAAAAAAAAAAAGAAAGTTAATGAATGTAATGAACTTACCTGCCATCAGATCTTAGAGTCCAACAGCCAGATATTCTAGCTCCAGAGTAAGCCGGTAGAGAGTTCATAACTGGAGAAGAATGTAAGGGAGGTTTCCACTGTGTGTGTACTCCGCAAGTTGTGTTTTAAGTTCTATATTACTGTAAACAGGATTACTGAGGGTATTTATACACTCAAGCACCATAAAGCACTTTGCAGCACCGTCCTCTGCTACTACACATTCAGAGAGAGATAGAGAGAGAGAGAGGGACAGGTAGATGTTTGGGCAAAAAGGGGACTTGGCTTTGAGAAATGAAACTTTACACAGCTGTTTAGCTTTCTATTCTTCCATTCAGGGAGCAAAAGAGAGAGAGAGAGAGAAAGAGAGAGAGAGAGAAGGCACTGCAGCTTGTTGGAGAGAGCGAACTCAGTGTGAAAACTCCAGCACAGCTTTTCCCTCCTCTTTCCCTCGCTTTCCACTCCGCCCCTCAGCCGTCCGGCCAACAAATGTAAGAGGATAACCTACCCTCTAGATTATGTTCATTAGGTGATATTAATAGCAGCAGGTTAGAGCCAGACCTTCCCACTCGTAGAGCACACGCATACATGCCAAGCTTGGGTCATCTGTTTTTGACAGTCAGCACTGCAATATGAGGCTGGAGGAGAAAGAGGGACCGGGAGAGAGCGACAGAGAACACCAGGAAACAAGAAACAAAAACAGGAGTGCGAATAGAACAAATAGCTACCGCTCTCCTCTGATGTTGATGTGAGGGAACCGATACACAACAAGAAACGCTTAAGGCTGTGTCAGGGAGGAAGAGGGAGAAGAGAGGGGGGAAAGAAAGAAAGAAGAGGACAGTGGGGAACAGCAAAGGAGAGGCAGCAAGTGTTTTTTTTTTCCCCCTGCAGGGATTCGCCATGTCTCTGACTGCCTTACACTAGAGTCTGGAGACGTCAGCATGACAGCAAACACACACACAAACACACAAAAATCTCCTCCCCAACTTCACTGGCTGAGTGCAGTGGGAATAAACAGCATGATGAAACCCAACACTACCTCCACTGCTCTGTCAGCTGACAGTCTAAGGAGCAGCCCAAGGCGATACACACACACACACACATGCAAAAACACACAGACACAGTCCTCCCTAGCCACCACTTGTACACACAAACAAATCATTATTCTCAGAGATCATAGGTTGCAGGCAGACTAATTGCTCTCCAGATCAGCGCAGTTTAAGAGCCACGCTGCTCACAGGAGCTCCGGATATGACTTAGACCAATATTGGAAGTGTTTCTCAAATATTTAGATCGTGGATTTGACAAGCCCTCATTTCTGTTGACTTCCTCATTAAAACCACAGGGGAGAGACACGGGGGATTTAGTGTTTTTCCTCTTATCTACAATGTAGTTCTGGGACTGTGGCTGTTACTTTAAAGAAGACAGCTGCTCAACAAGAAAGCCATGGCAGGAAAAAAAAAACCTGAACTGGTTGCTATGCCAAACATTCAGAGATCTCTCTCTATGGTTACAGGGGTGCACAGCAGGGTTACAGCCCTGGGCTCAAGTTAAATGCACGTATACTATAAATCAAAAAAAGAAAAAAAAAGTTCAAATATGAGTTCAACAATAAAAACTTGTGCATTTGTGTCTATGCTCTCGTGCCCCATTTAAGGCTTCAGACTTTGATCGTTAAAGGAAAGTGATTGCTGGAGCCTGGCGGGAGTCATAAAGGTATAAAATGTGTCAACATGATTCAAATTCCAAAAGCCTGTTCTGAACTGCTTAGAAACTAGGACATGCTTATGTAAGTAAATATATAGACAGGGAGTGGACAAAAAAAGAGCAGCATACAGGGCTGTTTAATAAATCACTGTCAACTTTGCCCAATAATTAAACCATGATGGACTGATTGAAACTAGAGTTGCATTTATTTAAAATAATTCTACAGTCAGGAGCGGAGATCTTACAAAGACAGCTACTGTCTAAAAGACTGAAAAATAAAAAGACAGAAGCACTGAATTAGTATGTTACTCAAACATCTGTAAAATGAACTGTTATTCTCCAATTTTAATCACTGTCTTGTCAAAAGTTGTGAAAAGAAACTTGATTCAAAACCGCCAATATTAAATAATGAAAATGTAATTCTAGAAGATGTTTGTTTACATGTGGCTTTCAATAAATTCATCATTATTTATTTTGTTTCATGCTGCTGTATCCATGTCTTTGAGGCTTTTTTCCTGTTAAACCAACTATTTTGGAGGAATACTTTATATATAAAAGATACTAACTTCACGTAAGAATTTCAACGTATAGCTGTATTGACATATTTTGAAATAGGGATGGGATAATATATCTACAGTATATAGAATACTATATCTATTTATAACTTCAAAAAAATTTAAAAAATCGTCAGATTAATTGGTTATCGTATTTCTCCCCCCTAATAATCAGTATCGGCATCGGTCCCAAAAAATCCATATCGGTCCGGCCCTAATATCTATCCTCAACAGTAGAACAAATGATCTTGTTTTATGTCAATTTCTAAAACAAACAGTCTAGATCAGTGGTTCCCAAGTCCAGTCCTTGAGGCCCACTGTCCCGCATGTTTTAGATGTTACCCTGCTCCAACACACCTGATTCAAATGATCAGCTCGTTATCAAGCTCTGTAATGGCTTAATAACGAACTGATTATTTGAATCAGGTGTGCTGGAGCAGGGAAACATCCAAAACATACAGGACAGTGGGCCTCGAGGACTGGACTTGAGAACCACTGGTCTAGATCAATAAGAGTAATGTGCTAATTCTGGTACAGGTGAGACTTCGTGCTTTTCAAACTGAAATAAAAAAAAAAAGTGTATCATTACTGATACCAATATTGGCCAAAATGAGTAAAAAATGGCATATTGGATATGTCCAAGAAATACAACATCTTGCATCCTTACAAAGTGGGTGTTTCTGTGGATGTGCCATATGGGACCAAACCCTCAGAGAGCAGAGCAGTGCAGTGACACCCTCTAGTGGCTCAGTAAGGTTTAGAAACACAGCGTGGTTTTTTCACTGTGGGTGGCTACAAAGAGCTATATAAGTGGGTCAATTAAACAAATGACGTCTCTGTGTGTGTATTCAGATGAAGTGTTAGTCACCTACACTGAGCGTCAGGCTGCTCTGAAGCTTTGTGTTTCCCCCTGAGAGGAGGGCAGAGAGCTGCACTTTCGCATGACTCACTTGTACCAAGCTGAAAACGTCGTGCCACGCTTCTTGCTTATGCTTTACATAGGTTTCTCTACATTATTAGCAATTATACGCTATTTTTACACATTTAAAGTAGAGTTTTGTTTGATTTCGTTGATACTAATATCCATCGTTTACTTTGGTTGGATAGATTAACTTGTAGTGGAGGAAGCGTATGAAAAGTGTAACAACCATGAAAAGAGTGATAGAAGTGGTCCAGTTTGTAAAAGAGCTGTAATAAGCTGCTTATTACACGAGGACTTCCTCGCTGCCATGACAGCGACATGCTACTTTCCTATAAGGTACGGTGGCTGTACCATGAAGGCACACACTGTGACAGCTCCGTAATGATGCTTCGCACTGTTGCCTATAAAAATCTTAAAAAGAAAACGCCAAAAAAAGAAGTCGAAACTGCAGTGGTCTTACTTTACCATTAAATTATTTACCTGCTCGATACAGAGGAAGTTTTCTCGTCGTTCTCCATCTTTGAAAGCTTTTCTTCCCTGCTAACGGCAGACATTGCTACTCTGTTGACAATCAGGTGGTGAGCGAGAGAGCAAAGTGGGTTCTGAGGCATTGTGGGGCTTGTAGGCGTATCATAACTGAGCACATATAAGGAACGACAGGATGTGGACTCCAAGCCCCAGAATGCACCTCGTCTTTTCTCGCACTCAGAAGCCAACAGCATGTACAGTATGATAATCGTGCTGGGCCTTTCCCATAACTGGCAATGGGTGAGGTGCTGGCCACGTGTAGCATTAACATTAGATTAAGGACTTTACAACACTGTCACACGTATTGCATTTAATTCAGTTCAGTTTTATATCATAATTCACGACATATAAAATCATTAATATTTTAAAAGAGAATAACAGACTTACATTTTTTAAAAGAGTAATATTTCTTTACCCAATTACTTCTACTTTTAAAAGTCATAAAATAAAATACTTACTGTAGTAATGATGGCTTCTTCATAGATGTGTAATTAAGCTGAACTGCACTAAACATGCCAGCACAAGTTGCCTTGATTAATCTAATCAGGAACAGCTGTTTGACAAGTCTTTCTTTTTTTTCTTTTATCTCTTTTACCTCTGTCTTATTTCGACCTACTGTCCTTTCAGCCTTTGTTTTACTCATTATCTTTTCTTATTTAACCTTTGAGGCCTTTTATTGATTTTATTGTTTTTCCTGCAAATTTTTGCTATTCCATTTTATCATGAATATTACCACCATTATTATTTTATTAACAATATTAATTTTGTCTTTTTATATTTATTACCTTGTTTCCTGCTTTCTACTCCCCCTTTTTTTAATAAAATTTTTTTTTTTTTTACCAATGTAATGTTTTTATTTGGGTCCTCATTGTCTCATTTTATGTTGTACGGTTCTTGTATTGTCTAGGTTTCTTAGGATAAATGAAATTGGCCTTCAATTCGGAGGCCTTGTTTTTAAATGAGCTTTTGTTATTTATTTGTTTTTATTTTCGTGTGCTTATGCTTTACAACTGTTTGTCAAAGCACTTTGTAAGTTTCTGTTTTTAAAAGTGATAAAAAAATCAAGTTATTACTATTTTTATAATAATTATTATTAATGTTGTTGTATAAAAATAAAGTTATTATTATTATTATTATTGTTGTTGTATAAAAATAAAGTTATTATTATTATCATTGTTGTTGTTGTTACTGTTGTTGTATAAAATAAAGTTTTTAAGTTATTATTATTGTTTTTATTGTTGTTGTTGTATAAAAATAAAGTTATTAAGTTGAAATTATTATTATATTTGTTGTATAAAATAAAGTTATTACATTTTTTTGTTGTATAAAAATAAATGTATTACGTTTTTATTATTATTATTATTGTTATTGTATAAAATAAAATTATTAATTTATTATTATTATTATTATTGTTGTTATTGTTGTTGCTGTCGTTGTTATTATTAATATTATTATCATTATTATTAAAGTTGTATGCCCTGAGGTTGATCTCTAACACTCCATCAATTAAACCCGCTTGATAACTGTGATCCAAACTTTTTTTTTAAAGTTCACACAGTGGACACAGATTTAGTCAACAAACTTTTATTAATTAGTTGAGGGATACTTACGCACAGGTAATACAACAAGTTTGGGAGAAAAATTGTAACAGTTCAGACTTAAAGGGGGCGTTAATGCCTCCTAAGTTAAGTTCTATACAGCTTAATTTCAGGTATGGAAGTCTGTAATACATCATTAGTCTGATTTCACCTGTTACTCATATATCATAACCAGTTATGAGCTACAACATCATCTCTTTAAACTCTCAACAGTTTCATCACAATCGCCTCTACAACAGAGGCGTATACTGTGTTGAAGTAGGTAGCATACAAAGCGAACATCTGTTGTCCAAATAAAAGGATAAAATTATCAGGCTGTCTAAGGGGATTTCTGAGGATTAACCTTGATTTCAGAGTTAACATTGCTGACAAAGGGAAGACACTTGGGCCTGCTGTTTCCCCAGGTACAAAAGTCACACCACACACAGTCAGGGTAACTAGAAAGCTCCAACAACACTCCTATTTCAAGCCTATTTCATGGTATAGTAAGTGCACTAAATACAGAAACAAACACACATACATATGCCTTGTTGTCCCATATTGAATATGTAATAATAAAGGACTCTCTCAATGTGTTTGTCATTGTGTACTGAAAAAGCTCAAATTTATGTGCATCATCAAAATGGATAAAATAACAGTGTATGCCGACACATAGGCCTACAATGTCCTTTCTGGTCTACAAACGTTTTCAACAATTTTTTTTAGATTCTGTAATATGTAAAAAGCATTTTCAAAGCAAACAAATAAAAACAGGGGGGAGTAGTGAAAAAAGCCATACAATTTCGAGAAGACACATCAATATCAAAAATCAGCAAGCCAACAAAACCAGCTAAATATGGTGTATTGCTGTACTCTCTAAACATGTTGCAGTTAGCTCACACTGCGGGATAGATATGTGTTTTCCACATCATAGGAAGACAGATAGTAAAGGGTGTGATAAAATATAAAATACCCACTGTTAAAAGCAGTGCCTAACTATCATATTGCAACACCAAAGCTTGTCAGGTAAACACAGTCAATGTGACGTTATTAATGAAACGAGTAACAAGCAGCTGATGAACTGATTCTGTGCCACGGCATAACACTCAACAAAAAGTGTTAACATTTCCAACGTCCAGTCATTACAAAGGTGCTAACTTTTTATACACACACTCACACATACACACACTCACATTCACACACACACATACACAAGGTCTGGACAACTCCTATTGAAAAGGTCCAAGGACCAATCAGTGCTTGTCTAACTTATCCTCTCTGTCAGTTTAACCTGGATAGAAGATAAAAGGTCCACCCCGCTAACAGGGACAGACACATGCATAATCATCCCCAACTGAATCAACTCCATCAGTTGATTAATAATGGAGGAATTCAGCTTCAATCTTTGCTTTACAATATAAAAGGTCATGGCATTGGGATAACACCACCTGGGACATATCTATCTCAAATTCAATCTTTCTTGAAAATGTTTCCGCTGACATCAGTGCTTCATTTACATGATGACATTTGACATTTGTTGGTGCAAAATTCTGAGTTCTCGCCAGTGAGGAGAAAATGAATGATTTAGAGGACTACCTGAAGTATCAGGTCCTTAAGGTAGAGTGGCAGGTAAAGCACCCTTATAAACGCATCTTAGCCTTCAATCGCGACTTTAATCAAAGCTATCAGATTGCTATCTCGGTAATACACATAGGAGAATATAAAATGGGTTGATTTTCTCTTTCTTTTGGGCAATCATGCCAATTTTTATGGACATGGACCGCACATATAATCATGGAGTTTGCATTTACTCAAATTGTTTATATAACTGTGAATTCAAGTATCTACTTTAAACATGTTAAAGTGAAAAAGTCTCTGATTGCACACATTTTTAGATTTGAAAGTCTTTAAATAATATTGGATTAATACCTTCTTTTTAAAATCTGGAACTAAACTAATTTAAGAGTAGAGGAGCAGCCTCGAAATTCAACAGGACCACCTATGGCTTAATGTGGTGAGTCATGTGTATACAGGCCTGTTGGCTTAGAGACATTAAAAAGTTCACCATGCTGCTCACTACTCCTGTAAAGAGTAGCTTTTTCTCTACTTTAGTTTTTTACCAAAGTTAAATATTCATGCTCCTGTTACCTGACAGCCACTAGGTAAGGTTTATCACCCCTGGAGTGCAAAAATACAAGAGGGGAGAGAGAGAGGGGTTAGGGGTTAAAGTGCAAGGTAATAGCTTTGAGCATCCAGGAGTTAAATCATATACATCAATAAATGTGAATCTTCATTTGCATTTTTTTTGTTTAATAAAAGATTATTTTCCTTGACCTCTATATAAAAGATATTAATTTTATTTTCTCCTCAGCTCTTTGATTCAAGATAAAGCCATAGCCAAAAAATGGCCCCCTTTAAAATGGTGTCCCATCATTTGATTGTGCTGCAATGGTGCAACAAGTATCACATAAAATCCACCTTTATGTCCAACATTTCACTTCAACAGTCTGATTTTAGACAGAATGCTTCAAGTTTTTTCTTTTTTTAAATCAATTAAACAATGCCATATTAAGTATAAGTGTAACTCATATTTCATAGATGGAAATCTTAGATAATTACTCTTTAAATTCTGCCCAAACTTCAGTGTAAAAGAACTGTGGAAAAATCTTCAACACTTAATCATGGTTGTCAGAGCAGATACCTTTCATCATCATCATTATCATCATTATCATCATGTGTGATGCAGATAAACTAGAATATGTCACTGAATTGATAGCTACATAGCTGTTAGAATAACAGAGTGGAATCTGATTTACAACTGACCATCGTTTTAGCTTATGAAGTTTGCTTCTTAGAATATGAAAAATAAAAAATAAAAACACGATAAAAGTTCAATCCATAAGAAATCAGGAAGGTAAAAACAAAATTGCACTACAGCACACACTGCAAATGTTTGGATTGCTCATGGTCCAATTGGACGTGTCAGGCTTGGAAATAATAGATAGATGGCATCATCGTTTTTGAATACATAGATATATAGAGATAGATATTGTTTATGTACACAGTACTGTATATCTGTGAAAAAATGCGAAAAACACTAGCTATCATTAAATGACTTCACCATGCTTATAGAATATCCTTTTTTAAAACCTCTCAAACACAACATGAATTTTGAAGAGAGACTTACTCTGCATTTGTTTGGAACTACGTTACCTTAGTTTAAAAAAAATAAAATAAAAAAGAGAGAAAAAAAAAAGCTACCCATGAAGTAGTCGGGATTAGATCTTTGATTACTACTGACACTCCTGCTGTGAGTACGGAAACTGAGACCTGTGCCTTATAAAGGAGAAAGAAGTGGAATGGAGTGATGGACGCTACTGTTACATAAGTATTGTTTATAACAGCAGACACATTAACTGTGGGGTTTAAAAACTAGGGCTGAAGTCCTTTTAAGTGTCTTACTTCTTAATGGTGGATTTAACTTTCCTCTCAGTTCCAAGTCCTTGTAGAGTTGAAAAAGGTCTTTAAGCTTCCTGGCATAACATTTACAGTAAGCATCCTCTCTGGCTCCTGGGTCGACAAAAGCAGAGCTACTCTGAAAATGACAGCCTCTTGGGTTTGCTTCGTCTGGCGGCGAAGGGGATTGGCTGTCTGTTTTGGCCTGAATTAGCACTGTCCGTTGGGTCGGGGATCAGTGTGGGGGACTGTGTCGAAGGGTTCACTGCAGGGGCTGAGTTTTGAGTGGCGGTAGGTGCTTCAGTTTTTGTTTGGAGAGGCTCTATAGCAGGTGGGCGCTCTTTGGGCTTACGTCCCCTCTTCTTTCCGGTGGTGGCACCGTTCCTCACCTCGGCTTTTATCCCACCATTCTCTGGCACTTTAGTCTTGCTACTGGAAACCACTTGAGTGGCTGCTGCTCGAAACCAGTTCTGAGATAATAAAAACACAGTGAGTGATCAGCTCTGACTCTGAAAAACATACAGTTAGAGGAGTTACAACAACAAAACTTTGCAAAGTCATGTGGTGGGTACAAAATGTCTGCATTGTTTACATTTTTCTGAGCAGGATCAAGACCGGTATGATGTGCTGACAAGTCCTATGTAAACCGTTTTAGCACTTGTTTGCACAACAGGGTAACACCTCATTATCCTATTATTTACACAGAGACAAACTTACCTGCGAGTGTGTCTTACTGATGTGGTATTTCACACCGCTCTCTGAGCTAAACTCTTTCTGGCAAATCAGACAAGTGTACTTCCCCATCTCACCACCACCCTGAAACACAAACACACACACAGCGTACAGTTAGTACAGATGTTATACAGCCTGAGCAATCTGTGCAGCTGCACATGATTGAAAATGATCATCTGTTAAACACTCGTTTGGAGCCAGCAGGCAACGTCAATGTTCGTAAATGTCTTCTTAAGCTGTCCGGGCTGCACCGAGAAGCGGGAGAATAATAAATCAGGAAGAGTTCGACATTTTGTGGGTTTTATTTCACTGAAACTGGAAACTGGGGAACTGGTTTGGCCTAGTGGTTAAGTCGCTTGCTCCCTATGTAGAGGGGAGTTAGACCTCAAGCTGGCAGTTTAGGTCTGATTCCAACCCTCAGCCTTTTGGGCATGTCACTTCCAGCTCTTTCAATTCAAAGTCTTTTCCTTTTTTGAATAAACGGATAGAAGCCCCAAACATATAAGTGAAAAAACACTCTATCTTTGCGATATTCTTGTGCTGTAACATTAAATTTATTCTACAGGCAGGTTCCAAAAGCAAAACGCTTCAAAACTCTCGTGAAAGACAAAAATAGAAGTTAGAAAAGAGCTCGTACACAGCCTGACCTTGCTATGCACTACGGAACAAATCTGGGTTAAGAATCTGAGGGAACTCCGGCGTGCGAGTGTGTGAGCGTGCGTCTGTGTTGTTATTTTTACCACATCATCTCACAGAGAAATATGTCATCAGGTCGGGTGCGCTGCAGGTGAGTGTTTGTACCTGGCTGCAGTTGGCGAGGTGCGCTTTTAGTCCCGAGACGCTGGAATAGACAGCCTCACAGTTCTGAGACAAAAGAGACGTCACTCAGTTGATATCAGCTGCTTTATTGTTTTACTCATAGAGCTAGATATCAAGTATATCATACATGGGGGCTGATTCTTACCATGTTGGTGCAGCAGATGAAGCCCTTTTCCTTGACTTGGTTCTTCCAGGTCTCTAGTAGCTCTGGGCTGAAGTTTGGAAGGCCTGGACGGGTGTAGTTTAACTATACCAAGAAGAACAGCTGTTATTGTTCCATCAAGTATTCAAGGTTACAGTTTTTAAGTATCTGTTGAACATGAACATGTATGGATTAGTGTGAATATCTTCCTTCTCACCCTCTTGCTATCAGGTACAAGGTCATCCTTGATGCGGCGTTTGGTGCCCCAGTCTTTGGCCAGCTCGTCCTCTGCTATCTCCTGCAGGTGGAACACGGCCACCTGAGCCGACCGGCGCCTCACTCTGCCGCTGGGGGTCCGTTCAAAGTCGTCCCCTTGGCTCACGTTCTGCGCCGCTTTTTCTTTGTCCCGTTGCCGCTCTTTCTCCTTTTCCCTGTTCTGGTCCCTCGCGTCTCTTTCCTTCTCCTTAAGATGGACGGATGGCGCTCTCTCTTGCCAATCCTTCTGCTGGCTGTGCTCCTTCTTGCCTATTGTTGGAGATCCTTCAGAAACAACCTAGAGGAAGAGGAATGTGATACTTGAAGTGGGTAAACTTTGGCTATAGCAAAAAACAACAAAAAAGATAAACATGTCTCCTATCAGGACTGTTGTCTTACCCTCTCTTTGCCGGTGTTGTTGTTGGTGTCAGTGATATTGTCCTTGCTGTTGGTGCCTGTGACGAAGGCGGCCATAGTCAGGGAGTGTTCTGTACGCACATGGTAGTCTCTGCCAGCTTTGGAGCGGTAGTTTTTTCCACAGTGCTGGCAGAGAAACACAGGCTTCTCGTCGTCAGAGAACTCTCCTCCGCAGCGTTTCTGGTGGTACTGGAAGCCCATCAGACTAGAAAAGTGTGCTGAACAACCCTGTGTGTTTAAAGGCATAATGTTTGTGTGATCATGTGGATCCGCTAGCAAAAACGAGACAGAATGAAAACACACACTGAGCAGGGGAACTGGGTAAGTGGATCAGAGAGTAGGTTTAATGGAACAACATTACTTCAGTAAGTCAATATTTTGTGGTTACGGTGAAAAAGACGGAGGAAAACGGGGAGGAAATGGCTCTTTTCTTTTTTTTTTACAGTGAGGACATGTCACAGCAGAGAGTCTATTTTTTGCAGCTCTTTCTCTCTCTGCCTTTTGCACTCTTGGGTGAGTAATGGGAAGCAGAGTGTTGATGTGGTTTTGGGCAACATGTCAAGAACAAGGCATAAAGGAAAAGGGAGAAAAGGGAAAGGGAAAAAGAGGCGGACACAAATACAGGGACCCTGAGGAAAAGGGAGAAGCAGAATCCAAACTGGCAAACAGGGAGAGGGGAAAATGTGACGGGAAGAAGAAGTAGCCTTAGCATTGGAAATGAAGAAGAAGAAGTTGTAAAGAATGCAGGAAGGGGAAAGAGAAGGGGGACCCGGGGAAGAAAGGTGGAGTGCATACCTCACTAGGACACTTGATTCGTCCCATCTGTTTGAGGACTCGGCGCAGCCTTTCTCTCTCATTGTGCTTGTCGTCCGTCTGGCCTTCGCTCCCCGAGGGCTGAGGGCAACAAACACAACGTCACATAAACGTTCCCCACCACCAATGATACTCCCCCCCTTTACTCCCACTTAAAAAAACAAAACTGTGATGTAAATGTGTTTTCCATCTTGGGTGTTCACACTGTGCCAGGATCATTAAATGGATTCATGGCGAGGCTTTCACTCAAGGCGTGTTTATGACAACTGTCAAACCCATGTTTTCACTTGAGTATCCACTGGTGCCAAACCCCAGCCTCGACCAGAACAACAGATGGCAAGACTGCCAGGGAGAGGGAAGAGGAGGAGAGCAGGAAACCCAAGAGAGTGTGGACATACTGAGGAATCCCAGAGGATTGAACTTCATGTGTATTCTCATGTGTTAACACGCAGAGGAAGCACCGAGACGACTAAGATGCAGACGAAGCTTTAAGAGGGAGAGGAGATACTGACAGAGTACTTCACAGCTTCAAGTGAATCATGCTCGGGCCTCCAGGCGAGAGAACAGACACCAGCTCAGCCATTGATTTACACTCAGGAGGGGAAAACCATGAAACTACATCAGCATGTATTCTTAATGCCTCTATCAGACATACAGAGAGCCAAATGAGCAACGCAGGAGGAAAAAGTGTGAGAAGAGGCGACGGCAGCAACGGCAGCAGCATCAAGGTCGAACTCAGTGGGTGACCCCCCTCTCTTTCTGTCAACCCTCTTTGTTTTCCCACACTGCACTGGGGCTCTGGCACGTGACTGCACTGACAACACACACTGGTACGGGGGTCTGTTCAAAGTCTAACTCAAAACAAATAAGAATCAAACAGAGCTTCAACAACCTGCTGGGAAATGATTCACAAAAAAACACAGAGGAGAGTTACATATTCTTTCTGCACTTTAATTATTTTCAGATTCTAGAGTAAAACTACACTAGATACTCCTACTGGATACTTGAATACTCTTTTATAAATCACCACAGGAGCTAACAGAGCTGTCAATCATATCGTTGTGTTCCCTCTTCTTAACATTGAACCATTTGCACAAAAATCAGCATGACAAATACGAACTGCTCAGACAGGGAAACATGAATTTTAACTTTATAGTTTGATCAATATTCTGATGGAGGAAGGAGGCTTTTTTAACCAAAATTAATCCAGCCACCAGGGGGAGCTGTAAAAGTTTTGGCTTCACTTCAGAGGAGCTGTTGTGCAGTCCATGTTTCAGACGTTAAATGTTAGGAACACTTCCAAAAAAAGTATTTTTTAATGGAAAAACTCTTTAAATGTGTCACTCTATAGTTGGGTTTCCATTATCCGTAGATTTGCGCAAAACCTAAATATCGCAATAGAAAACTGGTAATGGAAACACCTAAATTTCGAAAAACCTCTCAAATATTGCTAAAAAGTTTTTACGCTCTCATGAGGTGGTTTTTCAGACGTGTCGATATAGGAGTGTATCGCAAAAGTGTAATGGAAACACTATTCTCTCAATTCTACGTCACAGGACGTGACGTAGCGGGTCATGTGACCAGTTCATGTTAAGCAAAGATGGCGCGGTATGTGTGGACGGAGGAGGAGACAGTTATTTCTACAAATAATAAAACAGAAAAATATAACCATCATCCTTGATAGCAAACAACAGTGAAATGCAGAGTTGTACAAGGAGCTAGAAGGGAGAAAAAGCTTAAGGAATACGAGGTCACACGGGCAGGAAGTTTAGCTCATTGCTAGGCAACGGCCATTCAAACACGGCTCGCGAGAGGCAGACGGCTCGCTTATGCACTGAACACCATTCAATGGAAACACCCGCAAATCGCAATTGTACCTTGTCGAAATTTGATAAACATCGCTTTTATTTTGCGAAGAAATGTCATGGAAACACAGCTTATGAGTATTTGACACTAAAAATAAAAAGACAGAATGCTTTCAAATGATGTTAGTGTTCTGCTTTCTGGGAAAAAAAGCCCTGAACACACTTAAACTTTTAAAATATATGACAATACACACATTGATATGCAAAAAAAACCCAACCATGTGTATAACTTGTGACTTAAATGCTACAGGGCCTGTAAGGGTGTCCAAATATCCTCTTTCGTCTATTATGTTTTTTTTGATGAGCTTTGAAAAGTTTTCTTAAACACAGTAAGTCATCTCAGAAGTCAAACCTGCAGATGATGAAAGCTTCCTTTAATCAGCAGCTACAGACGCTGACAAACTAACACACAATGAACACAATGAAGGCTTTCAGCGTGTCACAGAAGATTTAATTATCTGATCTGAGTAATATTGCAGGAAAAATGCAAGTGGACTGCTGAGAAGACTCCCAAGTACACATGCGGTAGAAAGCAGCTTTTTTTTTTGCTCTGCTGCACTGGAGTGATGCCAACAAGGTCAGGGCACGACACGTCCAGACTGAAGACAAATGGCGGCATCAAACTGTGTAACTTGGCTGACACAGATGGCACAGTCATATATCATTACTGTTAGTGTGACATATATACACACACACGCCCCAAAGTCCCTTAACACAAACATCAAAATGCACGCGCACTTTTATCATATATTAAGAAACACAATCACGCATGCTACATGCTACCGGGTTTGATGCACTTACACTCATGAATCTTTTATGATACTTTTGAAACAGGCAGTGTTGAATTATTCAGCCAAGTTCATAGAATTACTCTAATGCAGGAGTGTCATGATAATATCTTAATGAAGCTCCCTGCTGTCAGAGTTAAGAAAGCTGCAAGGAGGAAATACGAGCTCTTCAGGGACAAGGGAACCAATGACAGCTTTAATGTCGAAAAGTTTACAAACTCAAAGGTCAAAAGTTTGCGGTAACTTAATTATGCTATACATAAAATATTTTCTCTCTCGGCTCGAGATGCACAACTATGTAGAGGACGTGATCACCATGGAAGCTAACACCAGCAATAGCTTGTTGTGGTTTTTTCCATATATAGAGACAGAAAAGCAAGTCTGACCGCCTCCTGAATGCTTGCAGTGCTTGGGTGTGTGTCTAGTAACTAAGTACCCTGTAAGTTCAGTGGGTCAGTGGGATAGTGGTGAAACTTTAACTCCCTCAGGCCTCAAAACTTGTTTTGATCAGGGGGGTTAAGAGTCAAAGGCAGACCTGCCAACACTCCCGTTTTTCAGACCCACCTCCCATATTGTAATTTTGTAATCTTCCGTAGTTTGATGGTCCATGTTCATTCATAAATCAGATTACTATATTTGTCCAAAGTTTCAAGACAACCAAAGATTGTCCTGTGTTTCTGCTGAGCCTCACAGACACTGGATTGATACTTTTACTTTACAATTTAGGATGATTCAGGTCAGTTTAACCAGTGTTTGCTGCAAAATGAACACTTCAATGAAAGGGAAACAAATGTAAGCTAAAATATTTACATTGATAGTCTTGCACTGTCTCAAAGCAATGCGTTCAGGGCAGCCTCAGATAAAAGAGTGCTGTATTGCACGCACAGATGTTCAGAGAGCATGTAAAACATGTGAGGACTTAAACACCCAAATTAGTGGACTAAATAAGGTTCAAGGCGTATCGTAGCTATCATTCTTATTACCATTTGTTATCGTTTACATCTTGTTCAAAATGCTGCAGCTCGTGTTTTATCTGGTCGCCGTAAACATGACCACATTTTCCCTGTTTTAGCCTCTCTTCACTGGCCTTCTGTGCGTTTTAGGATTGATTTAAAAATTCTGTTAGTAACTTATAAATCTTTAAACAGGCTCGCTCCTTTTTATCACTCTGACCTTTTAAAACCCTGTACTTCATCTCGGACTCTTAGATCCTCTGACCAGTGCCTTCTGACTGTCCCTAGGTCAAGTTTAAAGTTCAGGGGTGACCGGGCTTTTTCCGTCGCTGCGCCTAAGCTCTGGAATGCTCTTCCTCTTCACGTCGGACTGTCCCCCTCACTGCCTGTTTTTAAATCAAATTTGAAAACGCACTTTTACTCCCTGGCTTTTAACTCGTGAGAACTTGGCCTGTTAATCATGTTTCTACTGAACCATCTATGTCCCCCTGTTTTTAATGTGTTCCTGTGTCTTACACTTATTTACACTTATTTGGATGAGCAATCTAATCACAAATACTCTTATAATTAGCTCATATCCACCATAAAAGGTGACCCCAAAACTGCCCGGTGTGTGCTGCAAAAATCTCCTGGATTTTGTAACCCAAATGGTGGCAGGTATGGTTAAAAAGAACCATAAATATCATGTGTGCATGTGTAGGTGAGGATGTACCTTGGTGCTGTGTTCAGCCATGGTGTGGTAGTTGAGGCCAGCCTTTGACCTGAACTGTTTGTGGCACTGCTGGCACTTCAGGGCGTCCTGGAGCTGCAGAGGCCGAGCAGATGATCAAATTATCTTTCTAGAAAGCGACACAGCCTATTTTTTTTTTATTGGTTCCATCACAACAGCAACATTTCATCTGTAACCCAATGGAGTTTCTTTTCTCTTTTTTTTATTGTTGCACAGCTCAAGTTAACAGACAGAACAAAGGACAAGTCGAGTAACTGCGAACGAGAAAAGCCGTTTTAACACTCGCTGTTCCTTTTCATAGATTTCTCTTCTTGTCTCTGTATTGATCTGGAGACAGAGGTGATTCTGTGTCGAGTGACCCCAAGGTAATGTGGTGATTCAGTCATTGCTTAACGGTGCAGACTGTCACTTTAATGGAGTCACTCAGTCCATTGGTCCAAGGAAACATTGAAACGGCAGTAGGAACACATCTCTCTAAATGCCCACGGGCTTCTGCAGCACTCCAGCTGCTTTGTCCTCATGAAAAGACCACTATAATGAATCTGGATTAACTTCTTCTGTGTTTCACCCCTTTCTTGTTTATTACGGCAGACCACAATTGAGTGCAATGCAAACAAACCGCAGAAGTGTACAATGTCTGCTCCCTTAACTCGTTTCAGCTGCTTTCTATCAGAGCAGATGAGTGAGGAATATTACATGAGAAAACACTTGATGACTGTACTCAGATAGCGCCTGATGTGTTTTTTTTTTCCCTTCCACAGCGTTCCAGTCAATATCATTACGATGAAGACTGAGCACAACAGGGAATTCAGGGGAATTATGTAATAATGATGAAGTCAAAGTTTTTATCCAGAGAGGAAATAACAGCTTTGAGTTGAGAGAGAGCTTTATTTCATAGTCAGAAGGGAAAGCAGTTAGATAATGATTATGGAAAATAAGACTTTTGTCAATATGAAGACTGACTTTTTTTTCCAATGCAATATATGGATTTCAGTGGATTTGGCATATTGGCTTCTGTTCAAATCAAGATCATGATCCAGATTTAAAACAACAAAAAAATGCAGATTTGGATTCTTTCCAAACAAACTAAGTACCAACAGGATCAGGCATGTTTTACCTGATAGTTTGACGTTTAGGATTTTTTTCTTTTATTCAGTATTTGCAGACTGCTCTACAGAAAGATACAGCCTTAAAGGTGGGGTAGACAGGAATCCGTTAAAGAAACATCTTTTTTTGTGGTGTATATACAAAAGAGCTTTTAATATCAGTCAATAGCTTTTAGTTGTTGATGACATTTGGTAATATCACGATATTGCTGTGTTTTGTTATGTCTGTGTAGTCAACATTTTAAAGTTTTATAGTGCTCCGCTCTTTCTGACTGTAAACAAAGCAATTCCCCGCCTTCCCCCATCCTGATTGGTTGTGAGGCAGACGCTGCTCCCCCGTGTCGTTCACGCGCCCAAACAAAGTTAGCGTGCTACAATATCAAACAGCAGAAACCAACCATAAAGTACAGAAAATTGTCTGAATCCTCTTTTAGCCACGACTGCCGACACAAGCAAGAAAATGAAGTAAATACCGGAGACTCTGGCGGAATAACAGGCGCTTAAAAAGGAGGTAGACCATCCGGACAAGAGCTAAAAGAGCCGGGTCAACAATGGTGGGGGACGCTTTGGGATCTTCCGGACCCTGTAACCTTTCTGCTGGACAGGTAAACTGCTTTAACAAAGTAAGCCGAGTGTCTGTAACAGAAGTGTTTCTTGTCAAACGGGACCTGCTGCATGTTGCAGTCTCGGGTCCTGGAGTATGTCACTTTATCCTAGTTTTAGAAGTCCTGTAAACATTGTGTTTGCTGGTAGTATGTTGGCATCTACAGTAGCACCAATACTTTCACGTTGACTGGGCCAAAGAAGTATTTATCTGCATTATATCTAAATTTAATTGGAACGATACGAGCGAGGACAAGCCTCTGTTTGTGGGCGGGGTTTGCTGGAGCAGAGAGGGAGGGGAGAGGAGGAGCTGCGGGGAAAACTAGTTGGGAGGGGTAGTGTTTACATTCAAGATTTCCTCAGATCCAGACCTTTAACTATAGCATTTGTGTTGTATCTATCAGTCTTAAAGGGCTCATATTTTAGAGTTATTCAAAACAAGCTGGGACAGAAGTTAGGACAAAAGCCGTACTGCTAATGTGATGGATAGCCGAATCGCCCACTGACCTTCTGACAAATCTCCATGTGTTTTTTGAGACCGTGGATTGTTTTCCTGGTGACGATGGAGCAAGTGGGACACACGACTTCACCTCTGTCTGAGATTGTTCGCTGCCACTGAGTGTCAGCAACAGCACCTAAGAAATAGACACAGAATAGCGTTGCCATGATTTACTCCGAAAGGCCGACTTTTAAAAAAAATCACGATAAGGAAAAAATGAAAAGATCAAGAAGCTCACCAGAGCTGGTCGTGGCAGGATCTTTCTTCGAGGACTGACTTGGAGTCGATCTTCTCTGAGGATCCTCGCTGACCCCACTCCCCTCTGACCTCTTCGCGCGACCCGCCTTCAGCTTCTCCTCCACTTTAGTCATACCTGGAAAACACACGGACACACATATTTTCTTAAAAAAAACAAACGCTCACAGTTGATAATTAAGATTCCCTTTGAAAATATTCTGTGTTCAGTGAGAGCGACAGATCAAGGACAGTGCTGACGGCTAGAAAAACAGACAAAAAGAAAGCTGATACTGGATATAAAAAGACAAAATGATACATAATGACAGTATTTTACTGCCCAGTATACACTTTATGAGTCACTGGACATTTCCAGCCTTTGAATGACACAGAAATAGAGAAAGAGAGAGAGACAAGAATCTGTGTGTATGAGATGTGTGGTTGGTGTGAGTCACTGATTCACTTAGCCAGATATGAAACACCTCTACAGCTGCTGTGTTAGGAGTTAGTGAACCAGATTCATTGATCAGCAGGAGCAGCAGCAGCAGGGAGTATTCACAAGCATTCAAAATCATCAATCGCATCACCTAGTAAAGCTTTTCTAATACCCTCGTACAGGCTGCCCTCTGATGGTCATATCATTCTGTGATTCATAGTAGAGACCCTGTGACTGCTGCTGTGTTGCCAGTAATCAATGATGAATCAGTTTAAGTAACAAGACCTACTTCACGACTTCATTTATCCTCTTAATATGATCACAGAGGACAACTGTGAGGATTTTTTCTATGAAATTTGGGGTGATTATCCGCAACAGTAACGTACGACTTCCGGTTGGGCCTAAAGGTCCTTAAACACCGGGACTGTTTTTTTCGTGCGATTACTTTAGACGTCAATATTTTTTTCGAACCAGTATCCTGTCAATACAAGCTTTCACATCAGCGATGTTTTCCCATCCTGCGATATTGCGGCAATCATTTTTTCGGATCACGGACGAATTTTCTAAAGTTTTGCATACTGTGTGTCCACTTCTGACCAATCAGATTGCATGTTGTTGCGACGTCAGATTCACCAGTATATCCAACATGGCCGACCGGCTGATTGTTTACGTGTCGGAGAGCAGAGTGCTTTCTGATAAAAAACACAAATATTACAAAGATAACGACCTGAAGGACAACTTGTGGAGAGTCATAGAGTCGGATTTCTCATATGACGATGGTTTGTGTGCTTTAACAGTTTGCTAAACGTCTTTGTTTTAACTTTCATCTGTGCTAATCAACTTTAGCTCGTAAGCTAACCTGTTCAGATACAACTATCATATGTATTTTCACTGTCTCAAACTCAATCGCTTTGCTGTCACAGCACCATTAGGTCTCGGTTGTTACCTTACGTTTATGGATTATAGTTTAATGTGCTTATCTGGTACTGGCCCCGACCCCGACTGGCCCCATGCTATCATGACATACAGCCATCTCAACACTAGTGTCTAATCAGAACTGAAAAACAGTCAGTCTGCTGTTGTGTCAGTCTTCTCGCTTCCACTTGGGATGTGTCTTTTTTCCCCCTGGAAAGTCGCAAAATCGAATTGCGCTTGATGTGTATAGTCAGACGCATCAAAATTCACCTCCAAATATTTCGTAATTAAGCGTTGTATATTTGCGTCCTTCCCGGTGAGTAAGGACTTTTAGACAGATGTAGACATGAATCTCTGAGCTCCCCCATATTAACCTCTCTTTATGTCAAGGAGCCAAAACCACATGTTTATGACAGATTGCGTGTCGTATAAGCAGAGTGCAGATCAAAAGACAGTGAAATTGTGGGTTTTATTCAATTCTGACTTTTTGATGAAACAAGTAATCATCGTCTTTACCTTTCAATCCAAATGTTCCAGATATAGACGGCTGCTCTCCAGTGAACTTCTTCGGCGTTTTCTGCTTCCGTCCTAGCCCGAGAGGAAACCACCAAAGCACGGGCACGGTCAAACACAAAAAGCCCAAACATCACTGAGAACTTGTTTTCTTCATTATGAATGATATTCTGTAATCTTACTGTGCCTCATTCTCTCCGGATCTTCATCGGGGAAAGAAGGGGGAAGGCTGCCCCCTTCGCTTTCGCTCCCCCCTGCGTCGGAGGACGTGCTTTGGGACTGCGAGTGCTGGGACTGGAGCTGGACAGGCTGGGCCTGGTGACTCTGCTGTGAAGGCTGGCTATGGCTGTGCTGTTTCCTCTCACTCTTCTGGTGAGCGAGCTCTCCGTTTTGAGAGGGCGTGGACACCTCGTGGATCTTTTTCACTTTGAAGAACACCGGAGAGGGGGGGCTGTTCTCCATGGGCCTGGATTTACACATCGAACGGGACTCAGCGTTATGACATCACTAACGTCATTATGTGTGTCTGAGTGGGAGGGGGATCTGGGGCTAAAAATTCCGCTCACCTTTTCTTGGTGTTGAACTTGACAGGGTTCTTTTGAAGCTTCGCCTGCTCGTCCTTGGGCTCCACGCTCACTCTGTCCGGGTGGTTCCACAGCTTGTGCTTCTGCAAGCGCACCTTTGTGGCGAACACTGCCTCACAGTAGGGACAGCCGTGACTCAGCTTCTCAGCTACGGTGGCCTGACACAAAGAGAGGCATGAGGAGAGGGGGGATTTAGAGTCAAGCTTCCTTCCTACGCAAAGTGAAACGACAGTGAGTAGCTGTTCACAGAAGCCCTCGGATAACTCATCATATTCTTAAAACATCAGGAAATCTCTGAATAATTAGGGTGTGGGCATCAAAAATTCTCCGGATGATCCAGCTTTGATTCCCACTGCCATTATGGGTAATTTATCACTGACTGCTTAGGTCCCTCTCAATATTTAAACTGTATAGATCTACAGTAAAGCATGTGTTAGAAATAGCCTCCTAGCAGGAAAAAACAGAGGTTAGTGACTCACCCCCTGGCAGCGTTGATAGTGGTACTTGACGCCATAGATGCTGGGAAACTCTAACCAGCAGCCCGAACACGGACACTTAACCCTGGAGCGGCGCTTAAACTCTTCCTTCCATTGTACTATCATATGGGCCTGCTCGGGGGTGAGGAAGAGAGAGTTTAATGCAGGCACGGATTAGCGCTATACTGTACCGTATATAGTGCAAATTCGCGGGACACTGCCTACTCTGTGCAGGAAAAAATTGAAGCCCACTTCAAACACCCACTCGGTTCAAAAAGAGACACTCACAGGGATGCTTCTCAGTTCCTGCACTTCTGCTTTAGGACGGCCTTTCCTCTTCCCCTCTGCTTGCTCATCACACACCGGACCTGGAAAAAAAAAAACGGAGAGAGAAAACCTGAGTGCTGCAAACGCTTCACTTTAATGAAATAGAACTTGTTATTGATGGGTGTAATATTATGATCCAGGAGCCTTAGGTGCGTGCAGACCCGCTTCCTCGAAAGCATGAACTCGCAAATAACCTTTATTAAACCGTTCGTAAATATCCAACTTAATATCTTTATCTTGTCAGAGCAAATACGCACACATTTACATGTCTAAAAGTGGGTTTGAAAGCTGAAAGAGAAGGTTTGATTTTTCGACGGACAGAGAAAGAGAGAGTGCCTGTGTCGAACAAGTCTGTGTGATAAAGAGAGACAGTGCGATGTGGGTAAAGGCCTTCTGTTGAGCCAAATAGATCAGCTATAAATTGCCAGTGCTTGTGTGAACCTCTGACACAGCACACAGCAGACCGACTGCCTCAGCTCTCTTGCTTTTTTTCTCCCTGCTCTCTTATTGCTCGCTCTCTCCATCTCTCATTCTGCCACTTCCCTCTTTTCTCAAACCATCGCTAGCTTTCTCACTTTTCCTTCCTTTTTCCCTGCCAGCAGCCCCCCTTTTCTTCGTCTCTCTCTCTCTCTCCATGTGAACTTCCGCAGACGGGCAGCGCACTGCCTCATTACTGCTCTCTTCTCTGCTACAATTAGACCTCTGCACTATCAGCCCTGCACTCTATTTTCTCCACACTTGAGAGAGAGGGAGGGAAGATGGGGAGAGCTGTGTATGCATGTGGAAGAAGAAGAAGAAGAGGGAGGGAGGGAGTGAAAAGAGGGGGTGACAGAGAGGAGGGCAGAGGATGCTGAGGGAGAGGGGAGAGAATTGCAGAGGCAGATGACTTCTCCCTCTGACCAAGCAATACTGAATGACAGTGGTGCAGGTGGGAGCTGAGGCTGTAGTGATTTATCTCTACTTTTCAGCTCTGAATTGATCTGGGAAGGGTTGGACAGCAGCAGAAACAAGGCGAGCGGGAGGAAGGCTGCTGCTGCTGGAAGCCTTTTCAGATGACACATTTCAAAACGTCAGAGTAAAACTACTTAAAATAGGCTTGACGGTCCTCGGAAATGCAGCATAGATAAACTTCGAAATAAGAAAACAGGAGTTGCATCTGCAAACTGCTCGCTCTCTTGCAAACGTAGCGGCAGGATGCGTGCATGCTTCCTGCAGCCGGGGTTCCAAACTAGATCAGGGCACTCCAAGCCTACCAGGATTATACTAATGGTTGGAGGATTTTCCATCAAATAAATGAACTGACTTCCTGCCATGGTTGCTCATACAAAAAGAGGTCACGCTGGCAAAAGGACATCTCTGTCTAAAAAAAAAAAAAACAGAGTTAGAATGATCTCCCCGGCTCATTTCACTTGCTTTTATTCCCCATCATACACCGTGAACCTTTTTTTGTTTTCTCTTGTTTTTCATTCAAACACTGTCTGGCAGATTATATGTAATCTTTTACTTCAGATTCCCTGTAATAAGGTCGGAGGAAAATAAGTCGAGTCTGAATGAGATTGAATGAGAAGTAGCGCAGATTTGCTGGCTGTGTTTGAAAATACTCTACAGCACAAGGTGTAAACATATGCATAAAAAGCACACACTGATACACACAAATAAGCACACAAAGCCATTACCACTATATGTGTGTGTGTGGATGTGATGCGTGTGCATAGATATGGGTGTATTAATATTCTCCAGGCGATGGAGCATTTCTCTATTAGCTGTCTGGGTAGCAGCTGGAGAGGTGATGCAGTCGGCAGTGCGGCTCTTGTGCTGAGGAGGAAATTGAGCATGCATTCTAATTCCTGTCTTAGAAAATAAAGGTCTTGTAAAAAAGAAAGGCATAATTAATGAATTCAGCACTTGGGAAAGATTTGTTCTTGTTGCTATGGGAATAAGATCGTCTTGTCTTAGTTACCACTATCAGAGGCCTCTTCCCTGCAAAAGCAGAACAATTAGCCCCAGATATAGGAGCCTGCTGTGCGAATGGGAAAGTTTGCACGCGAGCTAAAGCATGAGCAGGTGCGAAATTTACAGTAAGAGATAAACACAAAACAGCAGACGATGTCTTTCCTGAGGTGGAATATGCGGACGCAACAAAATGTGTTCGGTATCTTCGAGTTTGGAAACGCAACAACAACGCCGCTGGAGCAATCACAGCCATTGTCTTGGTATGAAACAAAGCAGGCCCATTGTGTCAAGTCTAAAGCCCATGTTCTCAGGCACAGGCCGTGGGGATAAAACAGCTGTTCAACTAATGTCAGAGTATGACTCGCTCCCAGCTGTCTGCAACTGTTGCTGCGTACACTAATCCTGACAGAGGAGAGGAGAAAAGAAGAAGATTCAGGACCCAGGAGTGCTGGCAGCTGCCTAATGATCTCAAATAACCTCTGAGTTCTCCTAGCTACGCCTGCAACTGCCTCCCCCTGAGTGCAAGGGTGCACTCACACACATACACATAACACAATACACATTATCCACAAACACACACACACACAGGCGCAAGCATAGAACAGTCATTTGTTTTCCTCGACAAATACTCACACAGGAGCCTTTGTCTGTGTCTGCACAGTAGGGTTTGGACATACTGTAGTTCAGAGAGACGACACACACAAATACAAACACCACTCCTCACTGCTGACACGACGCCATGGAGAAGAAGAAGAAGAAGACATAGTATTCCTACTTCCTTAATCTCAACGGACAATAACGGGAGAAACTGATACACCTGGACACTCTGCATAGTGAACACAACGACAATGAAACCATCTGCTTGATGTGTAAGCTACCCTGGACGTTTCTGGAGCTGTTACCTCCACTTTCATCTTTCGATTCAGTGGTTTTACTTTTACTACTTCACAACTTTGCCTCTCTTACACATTCTCTATCAGCGTCTACTCCACTCACACATCTCCTCCTACTACTACTTCCTTTTTTTCTCATGTGTTATATTTCATCTCGCACTATGGTTTCCTTCCTTTTCTTTCCTCCTTTCCACACACAAACACTCACTCCCACAGTAGGAATCTTCCCATCATATACACACCTCTCTTTGGAGACGTCCCCATACTGCCTCCCCACTCAGGCCTGATTCCAGACAGTGAGTAAGAAAAAGAAGAAGAAAGAGAAAGAGAGGAGGAGCGGCGGCACCAGAACAGTCGTGCTATCCAGACACTGACTAACTGAAAGAAAACCAGACTCTCTTAAATCTGGCTCTCACTCTGCGTCTTTGTTTTTTCTCTCTCGCTCTCTTTCTCTCTTCCTGCCCTCCCTCTCTTTCTATCTCTTTCTTTGTAACCGTGTTTCTCTGCAAATCTCCATAGTTACACTTGTTGACATGCACAAAGATGTAAACAAAAATGTTCTTTTTTCCAAATGAATGCTGCAAACAGACTAGAATACATTTACTTTTTAATTAAACCTCCTTTTATTCTACTACGAGACTGAATTAATGTGAAAGCGTCAAAGTTGTACACATGGCTTTCGTTCAGGAAGTTAAGAGTAAAAATGAGAGGTGACGGGTGAATGGGTGGCTCATGGTTACTTTTGCAAGTCCAGAAACTGTCAACCTACTTGCCTCCGACTTTTTTGTGATTCTACAACTGTCACATAACGGCTCAAAGCGTTTAACTTAACCAGTAATGAACATGAGACACTGACAACGAAGGTACAACTCATTACAAGATAACTGACACATATTTGGTTTTCCTTTTTACCATGTAGTAATGATGCCGGCCTCCTTGTGTTAGTCAGAACATATGATAAAGAGCTGATTTAACCACTGAATGCAAAGACTGAGAAAGTTACAAACCTGACGAAGTCCATCCGCTCAAACGTATCGAATGTAGACCTCATATTTCATGTTAGAAAGATGAGAATTTTGCCAAAAGTGTAACACAAACAGTGTACAGTGTTAATTTGAATGATACTCGCATTGACCAATGGTGAATTCACTGGTTCTTGTTTGCATTACCAACTGTGTGCTGTTACACTTACAACCCGATTACACTAAAAAAAAAAAATATACAAGCTGACTCAAAGTGAATTTAAAGATGATGTACTGATACAGCAGGATGCTTTCATGACAGATTTTTATTCATATGAGGCTCTGAGCATATATGACACAGATGTCACGACCTTCACTTTCGTTATTGTATCAATAATCAATAGTAGTTTAAGTTATTTTACAGGAATCTGAAACTTAACGATACATTTACCAGCACTGGTGCTATTTCCTGACTTGCAGGAAAGGATCTTGTTATGCTTTTGCATATCAGAGATGGTTCCTCAGGCTGCTCTCACATCAGTTGAAAGTTGAAATGTGCCTCAGATTGATTTGATATGACATGTGTGATCAGGTTGTCCCAAGTGTTGCTTTGATTGATAATAATCAAGTATCTACTACAGCTGGGTGATAATCACAGGTTTATACTGCCTCATAACTTAATGACAAACAGGGTTGACTGGTGCACAGTCCATGTGAACATCCTCAGCAGAAATCCACAGTGACATCCTCTCTCGTCTGAACTAAAATACGTGGGTCTCTTTCAGTGGCAGACTTTCGCAGGGCTTGACACTAACTTCTTTCACAAGGAGCTCAGGTGCTCCTAAGTCAGTGGTTTTGGATGTTTCCCTGCTCCAACACACCTGATTCAAATGATCAGCTCGTTATCAAGCTCTGGAATGTCTTAATAACGAGCTAATCATTTGAATCAGGTGTGTTGGAGCAGGGAAACTTCCAAAACATGCAGGACAGTGGGCCTCAAGGACTGGATTGAGAACCACAGTCCTTAGTTGAAAAAGTAAGGAGCACACAAAGAACTTTAAGGGCATGATGAAAATTAATCAAATAATGTTGTCTTATTGGTCGACATATGTACTATTATTTAAAACCAATTTCAGGTCAATTGGTCACATGACAAGGAAGCTATTGAAGGAAAACAGCCTTTTCTGAGAACATCAACCGATGATTTATTGACGGTCCCTTATTCAACACCAGATGTTGACAGCGAGGATGCCAAGTAGATTTAACCGCGCTGCTGTTGCTATTCCCGGTTATAGAGAGTGAGAAGACACCGGCAGATCCGCAGTGAATGCCTGTCGAATATCCAACCTAAAACTAACTTCACTGCGGTATTTACATGAAAAAAAACTGCGCACATGTGCCCCTAAATACATTTTACAAATCGCACACATCTATTTTTAATCACAAATAAGAGTGAAACGGTCGCACTGTCAAGCCCTGTTGTGGCCAACGTGTATACTCGCACTGTTAAACCACATTTAAACGTACAAAATAGAAAAAAGCCTGTGTTGGATGGTCCTGCTACATAAACTGATAATTCACTGTGCCTCAGTAGCCTCTTCAGACCTGTATTGATTTTACAGCCCTCCACATCAGCTGCATGCTTCATATTATTGGAAACCTAATCTATTGCCTGATGCCCATTTGGCTCACGGCCAGTAGTATGTTTGGTGACATCCAATCACAACAGCTTCGGATGACTGGCCACATATGTGACCGGTGGATCCTCAGGGTACGGGGCGTACGACTGAACTGAAAGTGGAGAAAGAAACATTTTTAAACGGGAATCTGGCTGGGAAGAAGTTTGCTTTTCTACACTCAGATATGTTGTGGTGTACACACGGAGCTTATATCCGTAGCCGTGAAAAGAAAAAAAAGGCATGTGTTTATGCGACAACACACACAGTATATGCAAGCCAGACAGACAATGCCTGCTCCAGACTGTTTGCAGTGCCCTCCTTATGGACTGTGACTCACCAACTCAATCTCTCTCCTCTTCCATTTCCCTGTGCTCCCTCTCATCTGCCATCCCCAAGCCTGCCAAATAAAGGTGTGACAAAGATGACAAAGGACTCTCCTCGAAACGAGACGCAGCATCAGGCTGAGAAAAGCACCAGAATTCAATTTCATCCCAAAACAAACATTATCCGTTATCTATAGCTCTTTATCGATTTTATCCCTCGGTAAGTCTCCAATTTGGGAGACTCAAATCATCAGCGGGATAGAGCTACAAAATGAGAGAGATAAAAAGATGTGAGGAGAGTTAGGATGGGGTGGTGGGTGCTAGAGGGGTGAACAGGGTTTAAAAAAAAAAAAGAGGGGGGGATAAAACGGAAGATGGCAGAGATAGTGAGACTGGAGGCCCTTTTTATTCACTGCAGCTGTTAATACCAAGCAAAATAAAAGAGGCATGAGGAGTCTGAGAGAGCATGAAATGGAAATGTGAGTGTTATTTGAAGGGAACGGGATAAAAAAAAAACAGTGAGAGGAAGTGCGAGAAAGCAATAGAAAGAGGGGAAGAGCAAGAGATTGCTGCTGAGGGAAATATGCAGGGTCAGCAGGCTGCAAATGTGGGTCTGAAATGACGGTTCTGCAGTCGGATTAGCGGACTGTCGCTTGAGATGCATGTAAACTTACACAAACATGTAAATACAAACAAGAGCTGCACATGTGGTCACACTCAGACCTCGCTCATATTAGAAAATCTCCTCTAGAAGACCCTGAGCACAATAGAGAGGTTTTTTTTCTGGGTTCAGGTCGAGTGCTGCACCACTCTTCATTGAGGAAGGAGGATGATCCCACACACACACGCACACATAATCGCCTAGCCTCCACTCATTTATTCTTGCATTAATGTTTGGAGAATGGGGCCTAATTTCAGGCTTGCCTGAAGCATTTGGCAGAATAGCATTAGTTCTTTCCAAATACTTTCATTGTAGGATGTTAAGCAGTAAAATACAACAAAACCAAGGCTCTGATAACATAATGCGAGAGCAGGAACACCAAGCGAGAGCGAGCCACCCTCAAGGACCACATCCTTTCCTGCGAGTTGTCTGGTGTGGCATTGTGACAAGCTCAACCGCACTGCTCTAGGAAAGCAGACAAACTCAATTTGCACTTTTTGTTTCCAGAAGCATGCAGGGATTTCAGGAAACCACCAGTACAAAAAGAGAAAAAATAGCCCCGGCCAGACAGGATTTCATCATTCTTACATCATGCAAAAGTTTCTGACAAGGACATTCATCAATCGGTGTGAGGATTAATAATAACAAGAAGTGTGAAGGTCTAAACTATCAGGGAATATTGAACACAGAATAAGAAACGACTGTGGGAAGAGGGCAGATCATGTGGAACCTGGTTATTTAAAGATCACTCTGTGTACAATGGTCATGGACTGAGCTCTGAAAAACTCCACAGGGAGCTTTAGATATCGATGCCATTGCCTCCCCAAACTGAGGCTAACAGCTCCTCTTGGGATAAACAAGCTAGCGCCAGGCTCATTATGATTAGCACTGGAGCATTCCTCCTCATCTATCGAGAGCTAAAGCCGGTCACTGATGAGAGACAATCTAAGGAGGCAAGTTTAAGGTAATGGTTTGTTTGCTGATGCTGGTGTGGTTGATGTTTTACCGAAGTGATTACAAAAAGTCAATGATTGCTGTCTTCATTTAGCAATAACCAAATCTGAGTGAAACATAACTCAAACAAGCCACGGTGAGGCTGTTTGGGAATACAAATGCGACTGTAATAAGGAGCCGCTCTGCAATGAAAATGTTGATTCCTCATGCATTTTCCATGCTCTGCTTTGTGTCTTAATCAATTCCTAGTGTTACTCTAGTCTCTGCCTGTTTTTTCCAGACGTCTTGCGTTTCCCCTTCAGGTTTGCTGGATGTTCCTCGAGAATCTTCAAAACCCCATAATCACATAAAAAACTTAGTCCACTGGCAATTGCACCCACTAAGCTTCTCTTAAGGCTCGGGAAACCCCTGGTAACGTTCCAGATAAGAGCAACTTTCCAGCCAAACAAGACAATGGTTCGACTCCGACACAGCAAGATTGAAAATTCCTTTCTAGTGCAGTCAAAAGACGTGCTGGAAGCTTTCCTCAAGAACAGTCTTCTTAGCATAGATTAGCTGTGTATAAAACGCAGATATAATTACCGCTCTGATGAGAATCAAAGGAGATCAACTGCGAGGAGAGAAAACGAAACCGGCAAGCAAAACTGGTGTCACGTTACCACAAAAAGTCCCGTAAAAACCACAGCCAAGCCATCGCCTAATATAGACTTATAAGCGCATGTACACACATAGCATGAGCACAATCATCAGTGTTGCTCATTAGTGAACCGACGCCAAGATTGCTGCTCTCAATTATAGCTTCGGTCTCCCCATGATCAGCTCAGAGATTACTAGCGACTTGATTGATTTATAAGCACATCTTGTTTATTGAGTAATAAAGTGTCGAAAGAAAATCTATAAAACATAAGACTCCGAGAGGCTGCGAGAGAAAAACCTGTCATTCAAATACACTCGGCTCTGCTACAATAAATTCTTTAAGAGCATAAACAACACATCAGTTGGCGGCCTGTATATAATAAGAAGGTGAAGTCTATACATTTAGCTTGTGATGTGCTTCTAACTTCGACTAGTTGGGAAGATAAAACCTAACATTAAAACAATCCAATAAAAAGGCTTCTGTCTTGCAAAATATGCTCGACAAATGCACACACACACATAGACTCATGCATGCACCCACACAGGAATGCAAATCTAGCCTTCAGGGCTGCATATTAACAAAGAAAGAAAACAAATTGAAGCACCTAGCCCTTGTGATGGTGCTCAGTGTCTGGGCATGAGAAGCTATTTTCTAGCAACCAAAACAACTGGGTCAAACTAGCAACAGCCCCAGTTTTTTTTTCCAAGTCTGCCTCACTCCATTAACAAAGTCATGACGATCTGTCGGTTATTGGATTGCAACATTATTACCCAGTCCGGCCCTCTCTTTTCCAAAAAAAAATCTTCCTTCTCGGTCCAGATGGCTGGGGGTTTCACTCATGTCAGAACTTGGCACAACTTGTTTGTTTGGTTTTTTTCTCACTGTAAGGCAGTCTGAGGGAAAATTTTGTAGTTTCCAGGCTCTTTTTTGTGGTGCAAGAGGTAGCGTTACATTCAAGACTGGGCAAATCATTGTTTCTTACTCAAGTGTAATCCATTCATGAAAAAGAATAAAACAAACTGCAGCAGCCACACTTTGTATACTTGTTGATCTGATCCTTGAGAGACATGCTAGCTCGGAATCCCTAGAGTCCAACGGAGACAAAAAGCAACTCCTGTCACGCATGTGTTAAGTTATGAGCAAACAAAACTTTTTCCTGTAATCATCCGCAACAAAATCTTCCCATAGCACAGATCTAAAAAGACAGTTTTTAATTCACTCACTATGTTTGTTGTTTTCAGGGCTCGGTGTGGGTCTCACAGGCTCCTGGGAATGTCCGTGCTTTAGGGTCCGGCCCCTTGGCAGCCCTGATGAGGACAGCTTCCCAAGCCTGGGGCCACTTGGGCTATCCATGCCTGCAATGGGGGGATAGAAGGAAGGTATAAAAACACAGGAGACATCATTAGGAAGAGGTAATATTGGGATGCTTTCTCCTGCGTATTAATCCTGCCCCCTTTCTCGTCGATACATTATTAGCGATGTCCACCACATCGATAGCTTGTGATGATGCTGTCTTCCTTGTTCTATAGTGTGCTTACTTCTTGTTGGCTATCAGCGCCGGTGGAGTGAAGGTTATATCCGAGTGGCGGCGCACACATCATCTGCAGTGGTAATGAGGGTGTGACCTTCCATGTTTCATTTCAAAATCAATACCATCACTTACACGCTAACTCCATGCTCTGCCCATTAGACATAAGGTGAGTCAAACCACCTCAAAGCTTCTTTTTTTAAGCATTAAGTCTGTCTTTATTTACTTTGAGAGAAGGTCACATGATAGGAGATACTTTTTTAAACTTTTAATGAAGGCTAATTCTGATTCGTTCACCCACCAATCCATAATAAACTTCAAAACAAGCCTATATGTCAGATTCTGTGTTGCTAAACGCTCATTCCCAACCAGCATGGGACAATCTAATGGATGATGGCTGACAATCACTAATTATGCTAAGTGGGACTGATTAGGATCCAACATACTTTCTCTTAGCACACATTCCTGTCACTCTGCTAATGAATTACAACAGCACACAAAGGGTCACTCAGCGGGGGTCACGCAGTGTCTGTTTACACGCCATGCTGTTCACCGTACACTAAGCGGCCATGGCTCATCCATCATAGTTTTATTATAGCATGCAAACAGTTTGTTAATGGGGTTTTAATTTGGCGAAATGTTTAAATATGAAGCAGTTTTGATTATTTATTGCAAGAGTTTTATATTTTGTGTCAATTTTATCTGAAACAACCTCTAACTAGTTTTTATTCATATTTTCTAACACATTATTACTTTACTGCTGGTTGTTTTAGTCTTGCAACATTCAATTTTGAGTCTGTTTTTGCATGATGGTAAAGTTCCTGAAGAAAAAAGTGAAGTCGACCTAAAAAAACTCAAACTTTAAGAGGCCTGCTGCTTGATGTCTTGCATGCGACACCTTCCTTTTCCTGTCTGATGTGTCATAGTGTTAAAACAACTACATACTAGCTGTTAACCACATACCATTGTAACTTAGACAGCTCATCATCACAAATTAGAAGACTTGGAAGCTATTGCATGAACTTAGTGTGAGTTTAAATGCATTTATCTGCAATTCTTTTCCATTCCCTATGTTGTGAATTTGGCATCTTTGTCATTTTCTTTACCATATGAGACTTCTTGTCCTTATTCTGGCGTTTGTACAAGATCCCTAAACAACATTGCAGCTGGTGTTTTCATAAAAGAATAACTCTACGTCGACAGAGCAACATTACCATACATTTAGCTAGACACAACAAAACCTGGTGACACCCACACACATCTCTTCACACAATCTGCTGACAAACCAACCTGGAAATAAGTATTTTAGCTCCGCACGTGGCACGCTGCCATGCTGTGTGTGTCAACCACAACAAGGTTACACAGTCGCTTATTTATGTGGTAAAAGAAAGAATACCGTTAACACTTTTCTTCCTCGTGCTCGGCCACACCTACCTGAAGTGTCGGGCAGTCACCCAGAGCCAGGAGCAGGGTGGCCCCGGGTCACCCACGTGAGGGGAGGAGAAGGGGGGGTCAGGAGACAGGCACCTAAGTGGGCGTTTTTCCACCAATGTTATGTTGCATGGCATTCACACCTGCTGTGCGTCAAGGATCGGTCAGACTGGGGTTGGGGGGCCTGAAGGGAAGCGGACAGCCGTCCCCGTCGTCCGGTTCCCCCCCCTTACTCTCTGCAGACGACGACGAGGTGGAAAAAAAGAGCAGGGCAGGAGAAGAGAAATTACAAATTCGTCTGTACATGAACAGAAATCCTGGATACTTTCACCTTATTCCCAGTTTCCAATAGCCTTGCCCCCCTCCTCCTTTTCCTGCATTAATATGTATACCACGAGGCACTTCTTCAACCCCTGTCTTCTCGTTAAACAGTCCAGAAATATCAGAAATAGCCACCAGAGATAGGTAGGTCCTCGACTCCTTGAGGAAAAATATTAGAATACGGGATGGTTTATATAGGCAGTGAAGCAAAATGGCGACTTTATTACGAAGGAGGAGTAAAAAAAAAAATCCTTGCGCTGGCTGGAGCTAAAGGGAGGCACAAAAATATGTTTAGTGCAGTAATTTCGACGGCTGCGAGACAGTTGGTTAGAGTAAAAGGAAACGAAGCGAAGGAAAATAAGCACAAACGACAAATCTCGGTCGGTTTTGGTTCACTCCTCGGTTCCTTACCTCTGGATTATTTCGCTTTTTTATACGGATATTATCTCGGCGGCCGTGTACAGTATTACAGTAATGTGTGTTGGGTCATGCGCGTATCCACTCCACCTTTGACAGTTGCAACTACAGTCTTGAGGCAACTTGCAAACTCTCGCGTTATTATTATCTATATCGAGCGGATTAATAATGGGGGTTTCTGCCTAATAAACTCACTGCGATACCGGCTCGCGCTGCTCCTCCGACGTAACGGCGCTCGTTCCTGACGAAAAAGGGTCAGGGCTTAAATTCCTTAAATCAACCTTCGCCAAGTATTTCAGTGTAGTTCCTGCGAAATAATCTCTCCGAGCGTCCTGGCAGCATTTTCAAAGCAGTCAGGGGGAATAATATTGGTCCTGTAAGGAGGGCTGTGTTTTGTCATTGCCTTACTGTAGGCCAACGCAATAGTCTGTTAGTGCAAGTAGCCCTCTCCAAAAACCACTGGAAGAAGTATTATGCCCCAAATATCTCTAAATATAGAATTTAAAGCGGAAAACTCCACACAACAGCTACATTGTGTGTTGCAAAATAGTCTAATAGTCTCAAATATATTCCCAAAATTCAAGGTCAACACTTAGGCATTAGATTTTAACCTTACTGGTGTTAATAGCAGCTCAACAATAATTAAGCATGCTGTAAATACACCATTAGATTTTTAAAGTGCAGGCTTAAAGCAATTCCCTGTCTGAGATGGCCAATAATAGATGTTCAACATATGGTGTGAGACCACTTCTTTCTTGTATCACAGCTCGCTAAGGGAATCATTCATGGTGTCATTACCACCTCCCCCAGTTCCTGTAAAACAACAAAGATTCTCTGTTAGTCTTTGATTGGTGCCAGTCATCATGACCTAATATTTCCTATTAGTGGAAATCATCTGAAGCCATGATGTAATGTATGAGTGGAAAAAAAAAGTTTTCCAATATAGCCAGTGGAGGGCAGAAGAGCCTCGGTTTTGGACCGAGATTGCTGTCATCAGGTGTTTCTGCCCTTTTATATCACCTGTTTTACAGTGATTGAAGTGTCTTATGTGAAAAATATGGCCTTTGAATAATAAAAACAATAAAAGGACACAAAGACTTCAGAATTACAGTATTAAATATTTATTACTGACACTATTTTTATTTGGCCATTTTAATTCTATGCTTGTTTCTGATTCACTTGTTGTCGTTAGTATCTTAATTCTTGTATCCATCTTGTCTACATAGGAAAAGGTGGAGGAACCTAAAGATTGAATAGGCCTATGTGTAGAGGAAATCTGTTGTATTAATATTCAGCCTAGACTCTGGCACTAAAAGTAAAAAGTTAATAAAATATAGGCTTATAAAATAATCAAAAAGAACAAATGCTTACTTCTTGACCTTGTTATAATTCAAGTATACAAACTAAAAATTCTTTGTAATGTCAAGTCAAGGTATGTTGCCATAAATCTTCCAATAGGGGGCAGTGCTGTTCTGTGAGTTTATCAGAGCAGCTTACATCAATACATTGGGGAATTGTGTTCCTACTTGCTTTTGCTTTTACTTTTTCTTAAACATGTGAAATTTATGCCCTCAGCTTTTTCGTGTGAGTCTGAATTACTTTGATTTCACCTGACAGAGAGCATGATCAGCAGGTGAATGATACATTAGGCCTGAAGGGTGTGTTACTCAAACGGCCTTTCTCTTCCTTGGTAATAGCCCAACAGATTAATGTGAAATCTTCCTCTTGCTCTCTTAAATGGCTGTTGATGAATAGTTCACGCAGGGCTTTATTTGACCTGAGCCGAATCCTTTCACACTGGCAGTGATTTATGTTACCACTCATCCTCTGCTGAGTGAGCAAAAAGCTCCTTTAATGGTTTTTCAAACTGTCCAGGTGGAGTTGTCTGTACCCTAAAAGGCTCTTGAAGACTTCATCCAGCAGTTGATTGTGTTATTTATCTTTTGACCTTTTCAGAGAAAGTTGAAACACATGCATATTTTCCCATACTGACTTCCTTTGCAGCGGTTAGCTGAATATTAACACTTGGGAACAAGCCAGAAAAATTACTCTCTTCTGCTGTTTTTGCTGTTGAGCTACTCTACTGGAGCAGCTGCTTAAGGGCACCTCAGCAGTGTGTGATGAGACGGGACAATGTTTCTTTGCCTGTTTCAGTGCTGTCATTGCACCAACACCCAGCTGATCAAAGCAACACAGATTACAATACAGAGTTTCTGCATTTGGGTGTTTTAGAGAATAATGACGAAAGACAAGCCTTCAAAATAAAAGACACATAATAACAGACAGTTACCAATTAACCGCACCATCCAACCATCTGCTCCGCAGATTTATTCAGGGGTGAGAAGTCCACTGTTCACTGAATCTGTTTATCATACGTGTGCCTTGTTATCAGCTGGTGAGATGCTTCATGCCTCTCAGTAATTGGATCCTAGTGTGTGTGTGTGTGCGTGTGTGTGTATGAGTGAATCTCAGACAGAGGCAAAGTGTGCGCATCTCTCCAGACGCTGTTCTGCATTCAGAGATGCAGTCGTGCCTCCTGCGCCCTGAGTGACAGGTCAAAGTGTTGGTGGAAGTTTGGAGACAAACTCACATTGTTAAAAATATAATAGGCAATCTTTTTAGCTTTCATCCGCGATGCATTTTCAGATTACCAGCA